CATTAAAGTCACCAACAACGACGATATTGGCCGATGGATAAAGAGAGAGGGCTTGGTCAATTTGATCAGAAATAACATCAAGAATAGTGCAATCTTGGGATGAAGGAGAGCGATATAGAACAAAGAGAAAGGCGATAGAGTGAAGTTGTGCTAAACGAAAGCACATAAATGAATAGTCTGTAGATTCAAACCTAGTTTCACGACAAATGGGTGAGTTCTTACAAATGTAGATGCCCAGGCCAAGCATGTGATTATTGGAGTCTTTACTAATTAAAGGAAGATAACCATCAACACTAAGATCACAAGATGGGACAGCCGAACTCAAATTAGTCTCACAAAGAGCAAGTAGGTCTGGTGAACTTTGCAAGAGATAAGACTCAACAGAAGAAAAGTTACTTCGAAGACCACGAATATTAGTAAATGATAGGTTTAGAGAACTTGGTGATGACGATGGTTTTTTGTGTTTTTTAGTTTTAGGTACTTTAGTCATTTTAAATTTATAAAGAACTTGACTCAAGTATAGATAGTACTCTGTACACTATTTAACAACTAAGCAATAGCCTCATTACTATTAATAAACCCTAAGCCGTAACAAAGGGCTCCAAATGTGGCCTCTGCAATGCACACCAAAAGTACAAACAGGGACACCATCCATGCGCAACATGGCACTGTTAGTACTCTTTACACTGTTAGTACACTTACACTGTTACTACACTGTTAGTACACTTACACTGTTACTACACTGTTAGTACTGTTAGTACTTTAAATAAAAAAGAATTTTAAACAGTTGTTTATTTGTTTTAATAATTTCTATTTTTATTATTCCAGCATTTTCTATGAAAACTCAATAATTACAAAAAAAAAAAATAATAAAACTTGCATCTATTTTATTCAACAGTTGACAAAGCATTTATGTTGTGTGGTCCACATAACATAATCACTTGGAAGTCAGTAGTCAAAGAGTTAAAGAAGACTTACAAGCACTTATAAATCACACCGCTGAAAGAAATGTAAAAATTAGGGAAAAAGAAATAATTTATACTATTTGGATATCAGTAACAAACTAAGTAAAAATATGTTGCTATTAAACAGTTGGGGTATAGATGGATCTACTGAACAAAGCTTTGTACAACCTGGCGTTTTTTGATTCTGTTGACACTCAACATTTAAACATGTTTTCAATTGTAATAAAACTTTTGAGACTTTGTCTCAAAAGTTTTAGTCAATTTTTGTCTTAAAAGTGTGTCAATTTCACAAAACTATTTTTTATGAACCAACTTGTAACAACTTGATGCCTCTTAGTGTAAGATTTTGTAAGCGAATTGAACATCATTTAATCAAAAAAATTGTCAAGAAAGTAGTAGTTTTACACAAACAGCGTCAAATAGAAAGTAAAATTTTGGATTTGCATTTAGTAAATAATGAATTGGTAAATGGAAAGTTTTTTATTATTAATTTTGTGCCTGACGGAAAAGTTTTTGCAACTATAACAAACACATCATCAACGCAATGCTGTTGTATTTGCGGAGCTACACCAACTGCAATAAGTGCAGATTAAGAGCAAAAAAAGGTACTTATACCTATGAGACATCTGAAAATAAATATTTTTTAATTTTAGAAGTGGACAATAAGGAATCAATAAAACTGTCAGAACTAGAATCATCAAAGTTAGAATCATTGAAACAAACAAAAGTTATTAATTTAGAAGATGAAATGAGCCATTAAAAAGCTATTAATGAAGATTACGTGGAAGATAAAAACATTGACGTGTGAAATAAATGTAGAAATATTAAAAATAAATTAACTTTAGCAGAATTTTTTTAAAACTAAGTTTTCCTTTGCGTTTCTAATGCAATTTTAAAAGATATTTTTAAATAATTTCTTATTTTTTCAAAAATTAGAACAAACTTGTAATCTTTTATAGAATTACTAGTGTCCTCTTAAGTACTTATGGCGTGCTCCACAGTTGTCCACTATTACAACAAATCTATAAGAATGAGACAGTAATCCATATTTAGGATTTGCAAGATCCAGAAAAAGTTTTCCTGACTTGATAGCATTTATCTATCATATCTGTAACTGATATAAGCATTAGGAGATAACTGATATAATCATCAGGATATAACTGATATAATCATCAGGAGATAACTGATATAAGCATCATTAGATAAGCTTTTATGCCCTTTTCATTAAGTTTTAGGAGTTCCTCGCAATTTAGAAGGGGTCGAAAATTATAATTGATTGACATACTATTTATATACTTAAGATTTTTTTTTGTTTTAGTTATCAAGGGGCTCCAAGTTATCAAGTTATCCCAGAAGACATAATGGTTTTATCATAGAAGAAATAATGGTTTTATCATAGAGCTTTTCTTTTCTCTACTTTTTGTGTTACGAAAAAAAAGTATCTATAAATTTACGAAATGTATTTATTAAGTATTTATGAAATATATTTATAAAGTTTATGAAATATAAGTTTATGAATGTTAAGTTGTTTATGACAATAGAAATAAAATGTTTTACCCAAGTAAAACATTTTATTTCTATTTCATAAACAAAATGTTTATGAAATAGAAATAAAATGTTTTACTTGGGTAAGATTTAGTGTCTACTGTCGTCAATATAAAAAAAAAAACAAGAAAAAAATTTTTTTTTTTTGGCAACCATCCAAAGAAAGGAAATAAAATATTTATAACTTTCGTTGGTAATACAAATAAAGCAAAGTTAATTGCTATTAAGGGGTGTACCGGAATGGTATACCCCTAATAGCAAACACCTAATGGTACACCCTTAATAACTTATTTTACTTTGATTTCTGTTTTATTTAAATATAATATTTTTTTTATTTGTTTTTTATAATTTTATTTATTGAACGTTTTAATCTGCATAATATTTAAAATTTTTCCATTTTTCCATTTAGGTTAAAATTAAAATATTTACATATTATGGCATATATTTTTTAGCTATTTAAAATTTAAGTAACATTTAAAATGAGACTATTCTCAGAGGCAGGTAACATTTTTGATAAAAAAAAGGCTAGTTTGTTGCCCAAAACTGGATAACTATTCTTTTTGCACTAAAATATTTCGAAACTTCTGGAAATCTTTACATAATTTATTACTGCAAATAAAATTAAACTTTGTTCGTTAAGAAATTTGTATTTTTTACCTTTTCTTACCTAGTTCTTGATTGCTCTGTAAGATAATGATTTTTTAATTTAATTTACACAGTCTATATCACATTTTTTAACTAAAAAGGTAAAACTGGTCTAAATTTTGGCCTAAAATATTGTAACTCCGGCCAGAACCGGAATGACCAAAAGTCACAAATTCCGGCTGGAACGGAATTCCATAACACCCCTAATTGCTATGCACAATCAACAAAAATAACATTTTTGTTAATTACGTTATTTAAGGTTAAAAAACTTTACTTTACACAGAGTTGACCAATAAACAGAAATTTAGTTTTTCACAAATAGGTAAACTATTACCCTATAATATTAATAGATCCTATATATACACTCAAAGACACTATATACACAATAGAAAAAATAAAAAAAGTTATTTCGCATTTCTATAAGTGGTTATTGTCTTTCGCCTTCAGGCGCTCTATTATCTAATTATGCCTCTCGGTGGCTCTCTCTCTCTCTCTCTCTCTCTCTCTCTATATATATATATATATATATATATATATATATATATATATATATATATATATATATATATATATATATATATATATATATATATATATATATATATATATATATATATATATATATATATATATATAATTAAAATAAGGGAGGGTAGGGAGTGAACAAAATGAGGGGGAAAAAGGACAGACTTGCTTCTAAACAAGTCTGTCCTTTTTCCACCTCATTTTTCACATTCAAACATCCAGTGAAAAAAAGGACAGACTTGTTTCTAAAACAACAACAACAAAATAAAAAAAAAAACCCTCACAACTATGATTTATTCGAAAAATGTCAAATACCAGTCTACCCGTCTATATTCGTCAAAAAACCGACTATAACTTAAAAGTCACTTTCTTTGGATATGAGTACACCCACACCCCTAAAATTGCCTCTGAAAAAATGAATTACTCCTAGTTGCGCATCAACAAAAATTAATTTTTTTTTGTCTATTTTTAGGACAAAAAAATTTAATAGTTTTTATATTTCAATATATAGAATCTGGAATTGGAATTGACTCAAAATTTTTAATTTAGTGACTTGGCGCGTTTTGAGTATTGTAGTTTATCCTCCTCCAACTAATTGCCATATAGAAGCCACATACCTGGCCCAGCGAAAACAAGTTCAGCTCACTAAAGAGCATCATCACTCGCTTTGCTGACCAAGAGTACGCGAGTTTAGGAAGCACGAAGAAAGTTAGAGTGAAAGTCAAAAGAAGTTGAGTTAGAAAGATAACATAGAGAAAGCGGAGAGATAATTGCATTGGATGTTAGAATGTGCAATTCATACTATTAATTAGATTACCTAATTAAGTAAATAAGTATAAACGCTGTCATCATTGCTGATGACGCTTGTTTATACTTATTATTAGGTTGTTTATTCTTCTAACTAGGCGCGTGTTGCAGATGTGTTCCTCGTATATATATATATAAATAGATAAATTATGTTTACGTATATAAATATAAAATTGGCTTGTTTTCTAAATACAATAGAAAAAATTAACGCCAGCTGTTTTAAAAACTTTCTCCGCAATTCAATAAAAATGCCACACTTTACCATTATCTTCACCACAAATTTTACTTGCAAATAGCATTTTATCGGACTGCAGAATAAATTTTATTGAAAATATATTTTAAAAAGTATTCAATAATGTTTTTTCTAAAAAAAGTTTTTTTTTTTCACAAATCAATAATAAAAGTGCGTTAGCTTCATATTCACAACAGCCGCACTTTTGTTTTAGCTAGGAACTATTTTGATTCTGATGTTATATTTATTTTAAGGAGAAAAAAAAAGTTAAATTATAATAATTGTATTAAAAAGGTACGATAATGATTTTTATCGCTTTACGTTGTTCGTTTTTCTTTGGCATTGCTTGTTTGTTTTTTTTACAGCTAACTTAAGTTAGTACAACTTAATTCATCGGCACAAATTTTTTTTGATATTCCCGGCATCACCGGTTGACTCATATGCGTCATAAAACATGCTGATTTCTACACTTTTTAAAAAACCAATCAAACGGTATTTTAATAAAAAAGAGCGGGCTTTCTTCTTACCATCAACTCACAACAACAATGGTTTATTAAGAAAAGGGCAAAAGTTAAAGATTAAGACTTCAAATATAAAATGGCTGAAATCGCCGACCCACTTCAACTTCAGGAAGCGGACAAAGGTAAGCAGAAGTGATAGTGTGTGTAGTGTTTTAATTAAAAAGTTTATTTACCTTAACTAAACCTATTTTAACATTATTTACATTTATCTATTATATAAAATTGTCTCGATGAATTCTCCCCTTTGAATTCTTTTAAAGAAATAGAAAGCACCCCTCTGAATTTAAAAGTCTGAAAAATAGAAAACGATGTGTTTTCTTTAAAAACTTAAAAATTTTGTGTTTGCGCAAACCATCTATCGGAAAACATGTGACTATAGTTTCAAATAAGAGATATATCACATACGAAATTAAATTTAACAGCGTTTCCGGCTTCTTGTACATAATACCTCAATACTGTTTATTTTTCTACAAATTTTTACTAATTTATATAATAACTGCAGAAATAACTATTTAATTTTCTAAAAACGAAATTAAAAAAAAAAAAAAAACTTAAAACTTAATTAAAAAAAAAAATACTTCGTATGTATTATTATTATTATTATTATTGTTATTATTATTAGATAAATCTCTATTAATATTATAGAAGCGTTCAAACTTGATTACAAAAATTGAAAATATATAATTTATTTTATTAATCTTATTTATTATTTTATTCTTAATTTTATTCTTATTATTTTTTAATTTTTATTAAAAATAAAAAAAAATTAAAAAATGCGGTTAGAATAATTGGTGAAAGCGTGGCAAAATGTTTGGTGTTTTTGTTGCGCTGGTCGTCGCGTGTTTCAAATTGTTCGGAATAATTTGAATTGAAGGTAGGAAACTAATTACTTTGTTTGAAGATTTTTATCTTATCAACATTTTAAATGAATTTTCGAATGGTAAATTCATTTTAAAATTAATTAATATTAATGAATTTTAAAACCTGCTAATGAGAGTACATATATATAAGTATAAATATATGTATATATATGTATATATATATATATATATATATATATATATATATATATATATATATATATATATATATATATATATATATATATATATATATATATATATATATATATATATGATATATATATATATATATATATATATATATATATATATATATATATATATATATATATATATATATATATATATATATATATATATATATATATATATACATACATATATAAGTATATTAATAAAAAAATTCGTTGTGTGCAAATTAAAAGTTTAAAAATAACTTTTAATTTTTATTTTATTCAAGACTTTTGCTTTGTAAGAATATAAAATTAAAAACATATTAATTAACTTTTAAAACTAAAATATATTTTTTTAAAAATAAATTTCTTGGGGTTCTGAAATAAATGATTAAACTTTGCAAATCTAAATTCATTGAGACGTATTCAAACGGTGGAATGAAAGGAAAATTAATGATCCTTTTTTCACCATTAAGAAATCAGTAAAATGTAATATACCAAAATTTGTTTCTTCAAAAATTGTTAGAATTTATACCAAAATTGCAATATCAATAAGGTTATAATTGACAGAAATTGTACAAAATTTCAATTCAATTCAAATATTATATTCAACAACAATACTCCAAAACAATAAAAATGAAAACAGTAACGCAATACTACGCCTTTTTAAATTTTATTCAAAGAATTCCGTGTATTAACAAATTCGATAAGAATCATTTAAAAAGTTTTTTTACTATTGCAACTGGTATAAAAGCTGCGCAAGCAAGCGTTTTGTGGTCACTGAAAGAACTAATAACCAAGAGGCAAACTTAAAACTTATGTATGTTTTCCCTTTTAACCCAAAATATGAAAGTTAGTAATTTTTTAGTATGTCAATTTATTCTCGTTACCAGGTTTTAAATTTCACCAAATAATCTCTTATCAAATCGAAATTTCAACCACGCAAAGTTTCTAATTTTCTGCCCTCCAGAAAATAATTTATTCCTACTTTTATGGCCCCATATATTAATTTTATCGTTCCATATATAAATTTTATCGAGTTAAAAAACATCAAGCTGTTTTAACGAACATTTTAAGAAACTTTATTAAATATTTGACTTGATATATTGATATATTTAAAACAAATAATAATGTATTACTATTTATTATAGTATAATATTTATTAATGTATAATACAAAATATAAATATTATTAGTGTTGTTAGCAGTTCTGTAAAATGGCTCTAATTCTGTTATTCGGTTTCTCAACATGTTAAAGTCTTTGGTTTAATTTTGAAATAAATATTTTTTAAATTATTTTCAAAATTAAAAACGAATAATTTTTAAGATTTAAAAAATATTTTTAGCAATTTACAAAAAAAGTTTTTTTACGGTTTTTTTGGAACATACTTATTTTTTTCATTTTTTTTAAGACATGAATTAAGTTATAATTTTGATCAATTATAAACTATTTTTTACCAAGATTAAAAAAAAATATTGCTTTAAATACTTAAATTAGATCTTAGATTTTTTCAAAAATTTTTAATAAAAAAGAAACACAACGACAGTTACTGTGATCCTAACGAATTGCAAAGATCTTGCAAACGGTTCTGGGTAAAATATTAGACCAAAAATTATTCATAAGTAAATTGGGTTTATTGCAAACGGTTCTGTAAAATATTAGATCAAGAATTATCAGTAATAATTAAGTAAATTTGGTTTATTGTGTCATAACATAGAGAATACATAATTTGTGAAGTGTATACATATTTACTTTAAAAGATATTCAATGTAAGTTATGTACAGAAAGTGTTAACAAAGTATTTAAAAAAAAAATTATTTTGATAAGAACGAACTAAAAAAAAACAAAACAACTTTTTTTGGTAAATCTTTTTTTTTTTTTTTTTTGTTATTAATCTCAAGATGGTAGGTCAATGAAAAAATAGAAATTTTCAACTAAAATTTTAAAAGCCCGCCCACCAATTTTTTATATTGTTTTAAAAGATATAATTATTATATTAATACTATTATACTAACGTATTTTATAAATTATATTTTTCATTGGTTTTTCTCATTTTGAAGTTTTTAGTTGTTTTTTTTTTTAATTTTAAAACCCGATATCTTAATTTTAAAATGGCCAATTAAGCTAAATGTGGTTTATCTGTCATAATTTATTGAAAAGATCACTATGTAAGATTTAAAGTCATTAAAGTCCTTCTCTAACAACCAACTACTGACATATTTCAGTGACCTTATTTGTTTGCAAAGTTATGAAATAAATTATTGTTAATATGATAAAAAAACTATCTATAAGTAAAGAATTTTATATCACATCGCCAATTCTGTTTTTTAAATCACAGATCCACATGCACACAAATATTGGCAATTTTAAAGGAATGGATCTCTGCCGCAAATGACAAACAGTTATAATTGACGTCATCTACACTGATTTTAAAAAAGCATTAAACTTCTAAACAAATTACAACACTGTGGTATTAAATACGAGCTGTTTAATTAAATTTGATCAGAATAGAGTGAAATACCACAGGGAAATGGGAACAATGAACTATATTGTTCCTAATTTTTGTTAATAAGATATTTTTTTGTATTGATGGAGATTAAGTTTGTAGATGATATCAAATTGTACCAATCGAGAAATTATTACAACGGTAAGTTTTTTACCAAAAAATCTCTGCTTTATTCAATGATTTGCAACTCATAACAGCAATCAACAAATGCTTTTATTTAAGCTACGGAACATATTTTTCACTTATTCATTTTTATTCATTATGTTTGTTACCAAATTTAAACTGTTTATTCAATTTAGGGATATTTGAATTTCTTCTGATGCAAAGTTCTCTGATCATTGCACTTGTATTTCATTTATAGCATATATTTCCGTATTCACCTACTTTTAAAATTCTTTCATCACGAACAATTCTCAACTTTTGTTAAAAGCCTACTAAGTTTATGTGCGGCCAGTACTAGAATCTTGAATAATTGAAGCGTGGGAACAAAAAGCCCCAAAATTTTCTCATGCTAAGCCAACACCCCCTCTCCCACCAATACTCTAAACGTTATAGCAATAAGTTGATAAAAAAAACTTTTTTACTATTCTCAACTAAATTTATATTATTTATAATTAAATTAATAATTTTAATTTTTAAAGAATAATTTTTTAACGTTTAAAAATGATAACCATATAAAATGATGACCATATAAAATGATAACCATATAAAATGATGACCATATAAAATTTGAACCCCCATCAATTTGAGTGAATTAAAAATTCTATATGCTCAAATTTTATTTACATCTCGAATACCAAAATGCTTGGCCCGTCTCACCATTTTGTAATTTGTAAATTTTTCAATTGTAAATAAATAAAATAGTCTGCATTAGTTAGACAAATTCAAAAATCAAGTGACAAATAAATTTTGTATATACGACATTAACAATTTTTGAGTTTTTTTCAATTGTCACTTTTAAAATTGTGTTTTCGTTATTTTTACTTTTTTTTATTAATGTTTAGGAATTTGATTGAACTAACTAATTGATTTCTTAAAAAAAAAAAAATCAGTTTCTTATAAAAATTATGAAATAAAAAAATTGATAATATTCTTTTATAAGCTTTTTTTATTAATGCTATGCACGAAAGCTCTCATAAAATGCTGTTTAGAGAAGCAGCTCGCATGGCTCGCCATGTTCATTTTAGGAGAGCTTTTTGGACTCGTTTATTCCCGCCGACGTCTACAATATTAATGCAAAAATATTATTGTTATTTTCTTTCAATGTAAAATTTTAATGTATGAAATATAAATAACTAAATATTCTGCATGCATTGCATCATTATAAACATACGAAAGTTTAGTGTTAGCTCTGGATATAATGATATATATTTATTAACCTTGATGTCCTAATTGTTAATTTTAGAAATAAAAAGTTATTTTTATATTTTTATATTTATAATTTTTATATAGAATTTTATATAGTTTCCATATTTTAAATAGAGATAAAATAATTTTCAATTAATTATAAGGTTTACTATGGGTCTAATAAGTTGTGTTATAAATATGTTATAATGTTCGCAAAACTTGCTTCTAATCTTCTAAATTCTAGGGAACTTCAAAAGGTTCTAATACTTTAAATTCTAATAAAAAAGGTTTATTGCCGAATAAGATGTTATTAAAAAGATAATCCTAATGTTTAAGAAATAGGTTTAAAATTTTTCAAGTTAAAACTTTTTATTTAATTTTCGTTAAACTTCAAAAACTTTTACTAAAATTTAATTTAAAACTTTTTAAAGTTTCTGAGGTACTGTACGGCGCACAGTGTACGGCGCACAGTGGGGCAGAATAGCTTTAAAACTGGACAAAATAATTTTTTTTTTGTTTTGGATTTTAAAGTTGAATAATTATTTTAAGGGCACTTGTTAGATTTAGGAAAAATTACTCCTTAGATTTTGAAACATTTATTTACAATTGTCAGACGTTTTTAATATATTTCTGAGTAATTTTGAGTAAAGTTTTTTAAAAAACCTGTGAGTGATAATAAAAAAAAAAGAAAAAAAAATCAAAAGCTTGCATGAAAAAATAATAATACAACGTATTCTAACCGATTCACTAAAATAAGTTACTAAAATAAATTACAGTAATTGGAATTTAATGTAAAAAGTCACTCAAATAAAGTTACTTGAAAACTCGATTAGTTTTATTCCTGGTTTCGTTACCACGTTTGTACTGGTGAAATCGACACGTTTCCGCTAATTCACACAAAAAGGGGGAAAAAAAGTTTTACAATCTGTAATCATCAGCAGTTTTATTAAAAAAAAAATGAAATTCTTAGATAGGACATAAACAAAAAGCGCATTGTTTGAAAAAATTAAATAAAAACAAAATATTTTAAATGCACTTTTTAAAAGACCTATTAATCTATGTTTTAAGCACTTTAAAATTATTTTTTCATTAGTAAAAATAGCGGTAATATTTGGAAAATATTACAAAATTAAAACACAGTTTACGCTATAAAACCTGTATTTTTGTCTCAATGCTTTTCAACAAACAAACAAAACATTCCTTTTTTTTGTTTGCTGAAAAGCATTGAGACAAAATCATTTGAATGATTCTGAAACTTTCCGTTTCGGAATCATTCAAAACTTGCATACAAGTTTTGAATGATTCTGAAACAAGGAACGAATAAACTATAGTTTATTAGTCGCATTTCGCAATTTTTTTGTGGCAAGGGCCGAAAATCTTCTGCATTCATTAATTTAAAAAATATGGTGACAAACATTAAAAAAATATATAAATCTTGATTTTTTGACTTACTATGCGATGTCGCATGCTAACCAGGGCCGTCTCGAAGAGATTTTCAATCAGCCCTGATGCTAACTTTTTTTTTTACTAAATGTTTACTTTAGCTCTAATAGTAAACTTATTTCTAACACTTTTTTTTTATAGAAGACAAAAAGCACCTGCTTCCATGTCGTGTATGTGGCGATAAATCTTCAGGAAGGCATTATGGTGTTTTTACATGTGATGGATGTCGTGGGTTTTTTAAACGTGCAGTTCGCAGAAACCTCTTGTTTTTATGTAAAGAGAACGGCAACTGCCAAGTAGATGTTGCACGCCGCAATCAATGTCAGGCATGTCGTTTGAGGAAGTGTTATGATGTACATATGAATCGAGACGGTTAGTTACAATCTTTTATTTTATTGCTAGTCAAAACAAAAATTTGCTAATGTCGTACAGCGCATGACTTTAAGATCTGAGGTGCATAACATTAGTTAAAAAAAAGTTAAAAATAAGGACCGAATATAACTATTTTAAGTAAAGAAACTGAAAATTTTTTGTTAAACTTTTTTAGCTGTTCAACATGAAAGATCACCTCGTCTCAACAACAACAGGACACGCAGCAAACAAAATGATTCCAAACATCGCGCTCCCCAATCAGTTCAAATACCATCTAATATTGATGTTAAATATCCGCAAGGTGTCTCCTTTGTAAGTTACGAAGAAGCTTTTATGCCGCAACAAGCTCGAGGTTACGATAGCGAATTTAATCAGTTTCAACCAAAATCTGAAGATATAAGTTATGCATCAGGAGAAAATTCTAACGACGGCGAAAGCGTCACGATTGCTTCACTTTTAGACGCAACAAATCCTTTACCACAACAAGTACAAAATAATAACAACAATTCTTGTCCTAGTGGCTTTCTTATAGCCGGGGATAAGCTCAATTTAAATGAACACGAAGATATTGAAAATAGAGGAACACAAAACATACCTAATAGTTATACCATGTCATCTAAATTTAACTCTGATAAACTATATCATTCTTCTCTTCACTTTCTTTTTATGTCTGTTAGTTGGGCTCAAAGTATACCAAAGTTTCTTGAATTGCCTTTCTCTGACCAAGCGTTATTGCTTGAAGAGTCTTGGAGTGAACTATTTATTTTATCAATGATTCAGTATTCCGAACCAATAGAATTAGGAGTATTGCTTTATTCAATTGGTGCCGAAAATGCCAGTTCCCAAAAAGGTTCAAATGATATACAGGAATTACAGACTTTACAACAAATTGTGTATAGGTTCCAGAACTTAGCAATTGACTGCACAGAATTTGCGTGTCTCAAGGCTACTGTGCTATTCAAACCTGGTAGGTAGTGTAATTAAGATATTGAAATAAAAATTTACTTTCTTTTCTGATAAAATATCAGGAAAGGAAGTAGTAAATTAATCAACTTCAAACAGAAATATTTACTTTGTTTTAATGCGTAAAAAGTGTTTTTGGGTTTATTTGGGATTTTTTATTTTTGTAGATTTATTAAAAAACATGTAGAAAAACATGGAGTAAAAGTCCTTATTTTTTTATTCTCTGATTAAAACATACATACTTTATTGGTACAGTGAAAACAAATGACTTCATTTAGTGATTAAATTAAGAATAGACTCCACATGGGCTTTCTATCTTCACATTCTCCTGCGTAAGTTTGAAAAATCTGAATTTGTAGCCATGTTCATAGTTTATTAATCTGAATTTGCAGCCATGTTCATATATTTTTTTTATTCGGCACCACCAGAGTTATTTTAAAACAAGCAGCAACAAAACCATTTTCCATCTATAAGTCATTAAAATAAAATAATTTTTTTAAAAAAGATAAGGTAAAGACAGTAATTGCATGTAATCTTTAGAAAATATTTGTTTAGATCTTGAAGGGTTACGTTGCGGTCAGTACATTGAAAACTTACAAGACTATGCACAAAGTATGTTGGGCGAGTATGTTCGTAATACTCACCCACAAACACCTGCGAGATTTGGAAAATTGCTATTGCTTCTTCCTTCTCTACGCGCTATAGGTGCAAAAACCTTAATAAAACTTTTTTTAAAGGGTGACACAGATCAATCTCCGATAGACAAAGTGTTACACGATATGAGAAAAACGAGTTTACACTGATTTTTTAAAGATTGTTTACTTTATGTAATATATATTTGTTTATTTTTCTTGAACTTTTTTTAATTCTTTTATTTGTTTTTTATATGTAAAGTTTTTGGATGGATAATATCACTTTGATTCTTTACGTGTTTAAATTGAATTTTTTTCAAATATGTTTTCCCTAGCGGAAATCACTTAAGGTGTGTTAAATTTTTTTTTTTTTTTTTTTTGGTTTTTCTATACACAACGGAAAATGTAATGTAGCAAAATTATTATTTTTATTTCCATTTGGTCTTCTATAAAATATTAGCTCACCTGTGCTTTTTGCTGCATATGTTAAGCAACAAAGAATACAGCCGATTTTGGATTCTTTATAAAAACTGCGCAGTAACATTGGTGATGTAACGTAAGTTAAATGTAGTGTCAAGATAAAACGTATTTTTTTGAATGAACCCACTTTTATTGTTGTTACGCCAAAGATTATTATGCGATTAGTCAGGTATTTTTTATATGTAATCTCGAGTGGTAAAAATAAATAGCGTCACCCAGAAAAAATTTATTTGAAAATGATGTTAGCTTATGGTTTATACTATATTTTAAAATTTTCTTATGCTGCCCTCACAATCCAAGGTGTTTGAGTATGGTGAAACTTGTAGCAGATCATTGTTCTAGATAGAATTGAGTTTCAAGTTTTTGTGATTCAATCCATCTTTTACAGTCAAGAGGACTAAGAAAGAACTTAATTTGCTCATTCACACCTATTTAGTGGTCTAGGTCAATTAGTTCTGACCTATGTAAGTTTCATTTCTTTCCAATTTTCTAAGAACTGTTAGATAGGGCGCTTATTACGATTGTTCTTAAAAATTGCTTACAACCTTTTTGTTTCTCATGCTGAATCATTGATGATCCTTGGGGTATTAGCTAAAGTCGTACCCCATGTGTTTGTGGATATTTGGCGTTTCAATCTTGAATAACAAGCTATCAGCATTAGTGTAAAACGATTGAGTTTTTAAATCATACTTAGTTTCGATTCGATTGAACCAGAAGTAAAACATTAGGTTCTTAGAACCGCGCACCTAATGTTTTATTTCTGGTACAACTAGATCATGGGTCTATAGATAGTACAAAAGTTTGTTTTGTACTATGTATAGCCTCCAGGTCTCAATCAAATATTTTATGTGAAAGATACGATGGTCAGGAACTTGTCTTTGTAATCTGTCATCCTAACTGCCTCAAACGAGGTTGAAGCGTATCCGTTTTTGCAAGTTTTCTATCATCTTTCCAAAGACAAAAACAAGCTGTAGCTTGTTTTTTGTGTGAGAAATATCAGGTGTTGAATCAGAAATGTTTTGCTTTTTTTTATATCACTGATTGTTTTTTGCTTCTGTTCCAAATATTATTAAATTCATGATATATTGCTTTTGACCACAATTTTGATATCAATGAGGTTTAAGCAGAACCAAAAAGTTTCCATACTTGTGTATATTCAAAAATACTTGAGTATGCGTTCTTTTAAAAAGGAATCATATTTTACAATCATTTCTAGTGACACCATAAAATTTCTATTGTATTTTTTTAAATGTGTCCTCGAATAGGTAACCCCCTGCTACATAGTTTCTCAACTAAAAAAGATAACTCTACTTTAAACATTTTTTAAAAATATTTTAAAATATTTTTTTTTATTTCAAACATTTATTTCTTTATTTTAAACATTTTTTCTGTTTTTAAAAATATTTTCACACATTTAGGTTACATCATTCAATCATAAAACGACGGTGATCATAAAACAATGGCGATCATAAAACAATGGCGATCATAAAACAATGGCGATCATAAAACAATGGCGATCATAAAACAATAGCAATCAGTAGAAGAGTTTTCGTGGGAATAATTGTGAAATATTTTTTAACTATGAGCATTTTCCCCTTTTAGAAAAAGTACTATTTACTTTAAATAAATAACAAGGAATACAGTATAGAGCCTTATCAGTATAGAACCTTATCTTATCTTATCAGACTCTGAATATAATAATTAATCTCTTTTATGAGTTTTGTATTACTATTTATTATATTAAGCGAATCGAAAAACTTAGTTTAACTATATAGTTTTTCGATTTGCTTAAATAAACATTATTATCGGATTTGAAACCAAACTTTAAACATAAGCACTCAAATATTTGTAAATATTTCATTTACTAGAATTGTCGGTTACCAAGGTTATTTGATATTCTTAATATTTGTGGTTGTTTCAGTAATCTTAGATGTTTTGTTTAAATTAGAATTAGAAATGTTTTGTGGAGAAAAAACTCTTGAAATAATGGCATTTTTGATGGATGTAGGTAGTAGTTTTAGTGGATGTAGCTGGTAGTTTTGGTGGATGTAGCTGGTAGTTTTGGTGGATGTAGATGGTACAATAACGGTACTTTCTGTGTTTAAAACATATTTTTATGCATGATGCGTAGAGCGTGTCTACGCAAAATATAAATAATGGAAAACTTATTGTACCATCATATAAAACTCAAAAGTATGGTAAGAATTCTGTTGTGTATCAGTGCATCTATGAATGGAGTTCAATAAATTCCAACTCCAAACTATGTCATCTTTTTTTAATCTTAATCAAAATCAATTTAAAAAAATTCTGAAAAATAATTTGTTATAATTTTTTTCTATTACTATAACAATTATCCTTATTTTTTGTTTGTTTTTCATTTCTCTTTTATTATTACCTACATATATGATTTTTAAAAAAATAACTTTACGTGTGTCTATGTTTTACGTTTTATGTCTATATGTTTATTATTAGTCATATTATTTTGAAAAATGGTATCACTCCTTTGATCAGACTTCTTTATGAGTGACACCATCCATACTAATTATTAACTTATTATAATAAGAAATAACATATCATTTTACTTATTATTATAGTAATTATTATTATTTATAATTTTTTTTTGTAATTATTATTATTATTGTTATAAATTATTACTATTGTTACTTTACTATTGTTGTTGTTGTTTCAGTTTTAGTAATCACCTTCAGCTTTTCAATTCCATCTTTTGTTTCTCAACCTATGGATTTTTTGTACCTGTTGTATTGAGAAGTAATTTGCCATCCTAATAAAAACTGAAAAGCTGTTTTACTAGCATACTGTTCCTCTTGGTCATCAGTTTTCTAGTTGCCATTGATCTAATGATTGTGATGTATGTATGTTTGTTTCAGAAGTTACTGGAAATAAATAAAAGTGTTAGCCTTCTAGGATGACTTTGGTAAAGCGTTTAGAAAGAAAAGATTGGTAATCTCAAAAACTTTCTCAGATACATATCAAGCAAACTTATGAAGAAGACCGGCATACCAAACTTTATTGAAAGCTTAAGAAATATCATGAGCAATAGTCCTTGCCGCTTCCATCTAATGCTGTGACCAATGAAATCTTTTGGTCACAGCAGTTAGCAAATCGACCGATAAATATATATATATATATATATATATATATATATATATATATATATATATATATATATATATATATATATATATATACAATGTTTATAGTTTAATTCGACAACCATTTTTTAAAATTATTTTTTTCAAAAAAAAAAAAAATTTCATTTTGTGGGTGACCAAAGACGTCGCAAACGCTGTTAAATTAAAAAAACAAGCTCCTGAGAAAATTTATCATTGCAAGTATTGCAATTATACAGTATTGCATAAATAAACCTCTTATACGCAAACAGCACAAAAATGCAAATAAAGTTGTAAAAAAGCTATTCAAAACTGCAATTCTCGTTTTTAAAGAGGAAGTGGTCAAAAATAGAAGACAAGACTCAAAAGTTATCCTCTCATACGTCAACAAGCTAAAAACACACGCACGCGTTTGTCAACTTGAAACAACAGACAATCAGACAAAAAAGTAATCTGCGAGAAATTAATGATTATCAGTCTTCAAAACGAGTCGGTATGATCTTCCTCGATATTCAAAACTAGCATACACCATTCGAACACCTTCACACCATACCAATCTGTCAAAAAAAACATTCGTATTTGATCAAGCCAAATAAATGGGTTTCTATGGCATTCACCCATGCATTTTTCATTACTTTGCAGAAAACTTTGTTATTCCACTCAGCATCATGTTCTTTTGAGTCGCTTAAGGGCATCGAAGTACCGTCACAACACGGATTTTGAAAAGCCGTGCTCAATACGGTTTTGCAAAAATTTGCCTCACTAACCTACTCAAAACTCGCAAATTCCTGACAGAAGCTGCCCACAAAAGTTACCTGACAGTATTTACGAACTTGCGAAAACATTCGACAAAGTTCGACACCATCGTCTACTGCACAAGCTGAAATTGTATGGGTTGACTGACACCTTGCACAAATGAATCAAGAGCTGGCTAACCAACAACCTTCAACGTGTAACTCTTGGTAATAACAAACCTGAATGAAAAACAATCTACAGCAGTGTGACATAAAAGTCTGTTTTCGGACTACTCCTATATTTACATTAGAGGTCTACCTGACAAAATACTACATTATTTCAAAATGCACGCAGACGACAGTAAAATAATTGGTGAGACCAATTTGAACGAAGTGCAAAGTCATATACACTGGTTGCAACAAGAAATTTTTTTTTACTGCAATCTGCACAATAAACGGCATTGTCGGTTAACTGCACCAGCTATTGTGCATAACATCTGAAAGTAATCTAGACGTTATAATAAATAATGTCAGTAAACAAGTATTCACGATCGTATCGTATGTTGGCAACCGTATGCTTGGCATGCTAAGAGTGCTTTTCGAAGCTGTAGTTTTGTTCTATGGTGCATATTATATATTCCATAAGTTCGCCTAGGTCAAGATATAGTCAAATACAAACAAGTAGATACAAACACCGAGCTACGAAACAAATCTCTAACATAAAAAAAATAGGACTCACATTCTAACGGATACAGCGGAGAAAGAAGAGATAGACAGGAAAAAAAGTTGCAAAAGAAACAAAGATAGTTCCAAAAGCTTCAAAGAAACTGCAATAAAAGAAAATAGATAAAGGTTACACTAAAAAATGTTAATGCTGTAAAAGACACACGAGACATAAAAATAATAAAAGCATTAGCTAAGAATTTCAATCTAGAATATAAAATTTTCAGATGTTTTTTTTAGAGAAAGTATTAATAACGTAAACCACAAAATTTAAGTTATTTGCCAGAAAATAACATCACTAGAGCTAAGCAATGGCAATAAAACGTGTTTAAAAAAATATAATATACAATATAAAGCAACAATAGCATGCAACTAAATGCTATCGCTTAAACGCTTCTCACTCAATTTTAAAAGTTTTTTTGCTTGCGCATTATAAAAATTTACCTAAATTAAGATATCTATTTAAATAGTATTTTGTTTAAAAACTTTTGACGAAATCCTTATGATTTTCTTAACCTCCTTGAGTTAGCAATAATGGTCAAGTATTTTCTTTACTTTTTTTTGTCAGTTAAACTATTTATATATATCCAGTAAAATTAGGTTCTTTCTCATCAATCATAAACAATTACACACTTTTTTGTTTCTTTATGTTCTAAGAAATACTTTTAACTAACCTTATGACCTTCTTAGCATAAAATAAAAACCCACAAGCAACGGGGAAAGACCGAAAAACGAAATATTAAAAAAAAAAAAAAAAAAGTTAAAAAAAAAAGTGCAGTTTTTATTTCATACTTATTTTTACATTTCATTATAACATAATTATAAACTAACTACTAACAAGTCACACTTATTAATGTTACTTTATCATATTTAAAAGATAATGGTTCCACTTCAAAAAGATCTCCATGTTAAAAACAAAAATACATTTGTAAAATATTTCACTTTTAAATGACAACACAAAACATGTTCATGCCCGATGACACCCAATGACAAAACAAAAACATATGCATTATAAATGCTTTATTAACAAAAAAAATTACTAAATAAATAAACTTGATAGATTCATACAAAAATAATTAGAAAGCAATAAAAAAAATTGCGATTTACAAGGGAAATCAGGAGTGAATTCTATATTTTTTTGGACGAAAAAGATTTAAAAAAAGACGCCTTTGAACTACGGTTATTATAAATTAGATTAAAAGTCCATTTTTTTAATCTAACTTTTAATGTTTTTGTTAACTTACTTTAAAAATTAGACATTAAAAAAAAAAAAAAAAAAATTCAGTCCTCCCTTGTAAGTTGATGCAAATCGATTTGTTTCAAATAGACATTCGAAAGTGTCAAATAGAATATTCATTTAGAAAGAAAGTTAAACCTGTTGACTATACATAGGTTTCCGCATTATAATACATATATTTTATAATACAATTAATATAAATATTATAATTTCATTTTGAATAATTTTATATACTAAAAAAAGAAGTTGTTTTTAATTCTTAATATGATTTTATACTTCCTTTATGTCATGATTTTAAAAACACCCCAATATATAAGCCCTTTTTATGCACCCTTCTAAAAAAATATTATTTTAAACTATAATAACGATAAACATTAATATTAAACATAATATATATGAATACATAATCCTCTAATTATTACTATTATATATATATATATATATATATATATATATATATATATATATATATATATATATATATATATATATATATATATATATATATATATATATGCATATATCTACAGTTTGCATTTAGGAGGTTTAATTAACATAATTAACCTTTTTGGTTATTCAATATTAAATAATCCAATTGAAAAGGGATAAGCAATCCCCTTATTTACCATGTAAGTGTATACATGTGTGTATAAAGCCTATATTTTTCATATTAAACCCTGTTAAACAAAATCATTAACAGAAACTTCTATAGGCAACTTTAACCCTAAAACGCGTTACCCGTTTCAATTAATTTGTAGCAATATACATCAAAACTATAGTAACGACGCATATCGCTAAAAAACTGACTAAAAATATCAGAGCGATGTGAGTGTCTGTTAAACCAATCGCCTGAGCTGGTTCTATTTTTTTCAAATCATGTTCACATTCTTTTGAGATTGCTTGACGTAAAGTATGAACACGGATTATTGGAGAGTGAATACTTTTGATGTCCTCTGGTACGTTAGCTAAAATATTTCGATCCATAGCAGATAATGTTCGAGTAACATAAATACGAAACTGATATGCTTTATCTGGTTCAAGATCGCACACAGTAAATTCTGTTTCAATTCCGTTGTATACCTATAACAGGTCATTTATTTAACATAACAAGTCTTTCTTAATAGTATTTTATTGATACTATCAATAGTATTAATAATTAAAATAGCAATATTATTTTATTATTATCATTTTTTTTTTTTTTAATTATTATTTATAAGTATAATAAGAAAAAAAAAAAAAAAAAAAAAAAAAGAACCTGATTGAAGTTATTTCCTAACTCAACATTTTGCATTTGAAGGGTGTATTTAGTGATATCGTCTGGACGAATGCTTTCAACTGGTGTCCAAATCAATTTAATCGATGAGATATCAACATGCTGACATATCAATTCTTAACAAACGGAAAATTTGAAAAAATAAATAAGAACCGATAAATAATTTTAAGAACAAATTAATAAAATTAAAAAAAAAAAGTTAAAGTATGAGATCGAAAAAAAAAGAGAAAGGATAAAAAAATTTTAAATATCTTTTAAAATAGTTTTTTTTTACAAATTTCTTTAATTTTTATGTATATTTAAGAAATTAAAGAGTATAAAAATTTTTTAGTTTCAAAATTTTTCTATTTTTTTCTAAAAAAAATTGGACATTACTGGTGATAGTACCCATTAATTTTGTACACTTGACACTTTCAACTGTTATTCTCATTTACTTGCTTATGGTTGACTATGCCTTCAACAATTCTTGTACTGAAATAATAGTCTTGCTTGTTTTACGCAATACCCTTTAGAAATACCCCAATAATTTTTGATAGGCCAGAATTGTGGACAATATGAGCTTTTTTGGTGCAAAATTAACCTTTCTCAATTTATACCACTCTAAAGTTTTTTTAGCCTCATACCACTCTAAATTTATACCACTACTGCAAAATTAACCTTTCTCAATTTATACCACCACATAATAGTCTTCTCATTTTTTCCAATCTCATGCTTTATTAAAAAAAAAGATCAGATAATTTTAATATCGATAAAACCAAATAATAAAAAGATTGAAAATATATATAGAAATTTTTAATTTATATATTTATTTTTCAATTCATTTTTTTTTCCAGACTCATGGCAGTCTTGCCACAATTACAAATAACAACAAAAATAAAAGTTTTTATTTTTATCATTATTTGTATTTTTATATTATTATGTCAAGATCATTTTTTTTAAATTAGTGATACGCATCAATTAAATCATTTATAAAAGTCATCTTTTTTAAATTAATTTCAAAAAACTGATTGATGATGATGATGATGATGATGATATATATATATATATATATATATATATATATATATATATATATATATATATATATATATATATATATATATATATATATATATATATATATATATATATATATATATAATTAAACATTTTTACATTGAATAGATTTACATAAAAGTGAACCAAAATAAAATGAATTATAATTTCATATATATACATTTTTTCCTTTTTTTTTTCAACATCTTCACTTCCAACAAGGTTGAAAGCAACCACTATTAGAGTTGGAAGTTACTGGAAGAGAAAAGATAAAGCAAGATAATTTTTAAAACACAATTCAAAAGCAAATTATATGAATCAGAAAAAACAAGATGCAAGAAGCGAAATCCGAAGAACTGGTGTTCGAGGAAAAAAACTAAGCAAATAAGAATTTTTGGAGCACTTTGGAACAGTCACAGTAAAAGAATGAGACTTAATTAAAAGACAAGTAACATGAGAATGAATTTAGCAGATGGCACAAGAGATGCTAGCTCTTTAAGGTAGTGTCAAAAAGTATTTATAGAAAAGAGAAAGAGAAGCAACATTACAGATGTGATAATGGTTGGAGGTTGGCTGCAAGACCAGGCCTAACTATGTTTACCATACGTTTTTGCACCTTGCCTAATAGAGAAAGTGCATCACTTGATAATTCACTCCAGATATGGCAACAAAGTTCCATACAAGGATGAATTTGAGACTTATAGAGTAAAGAATAGAATTCTGAGTAAGAAATTGACAAGTAGAATAAGGAGATGCAACCTTAGCAGATGCTAATTTTGCAATGGATTTGATATATAGTTTCCAAGAAAGACCAAAAGTTAATCATAGAAGACATAAAAAATTGAATAGAAAATCCTAGAAGACGATAAGTAGATGACTCGTGTAGTACATTTCCGTTCATGAATATAGGAAGATCTTGATTATTGCGATAACCATGAGCTGAAAAAAAACTGAGTTTATCTGAGTTAAAATTCACCAGCCACTGAGAGCCCCATGCTGTAGCAGAAGTGAGATCCTTTTCAACCTCAAATGCTCCCTCCAAGCGAACAGAGAATGTTGGCTTCTAATCAAAACAAGAGTAAATGCATCATCAGCAAACAATGCCACCTAAGATGTGAGAACTTCTGGGAGATTGTTGATGTAAATTAAAAAGAGCATAGGGCCAATGATAGAACACTAAGGAACATCTGAAGTTACAGGATATGAAGAAGGGTGCTGTCCATCAAGGGCAACTTTATACTATGACTAATAAGAAAGGATTCAATAATCTTAAAAAAAAAATTTATGGAGAAGACCAGCATGCCAAACTTTATCAAAGACTTTACAAATGTCGAAAGCAATAAACTTTACTCTCCACATCATCCAAATGCGCGATAAAACCTATCGGTTATTACTGTTAACAAATCAGCAATAGAACAAGAAGACCGAAATCCATATTGATGATCAGAAAGTAAGTTATTATAGATTCAAGATGAGAGATTAAGTGTTTGTTAACTAAAGACTCAAAAACCTTGGTTATGATAGGAATAAGATTAATGAGATAGTAGTTAGGCGAGTCAAAGAATTTTTGAAAATAGGGATAACAGATTCTTTGTTTTTTTATCTCAAAATTAGTTTCTCATGACTTCTGGAGAATCTTTAACAGTATCATTAACAAGGGCAAAACTGTTCAACAAGAGCTTATCAAAGTCTTGTTTTCCAGCATGCTGGAAAGATAGGGATGATAGCTTTCCAGCATGCTGGAAAACAAGACTTTGATAAGCTCTTGTTGAATAGTTTTAAAAGTATAGACGACAACTCCCGAGAACACTTCTGCAAGGCTGTAACAGGTATGTTGTCCAGACCACAAACTATAGAAGAATCTAAGTAGGAAATCACTTTAGATACAGAAGCTAGAGTGATACGAATGTCAAGCAATGGATCAACCTGTTTGTCAACTATATCAGGAAGGACATGATTAGTGGAATCAAGAGATGAGATTGATGAAAAGCTTTTAGCAAACTCTTCAACATTGTCTTTAAGTAAGGTGACAAAATCTGAACTATACAAGAGAGGTGAAATAACAGATTTGCCCTTGTTAATGATACTGTTAAAGATTCTCCAGAAGTCATGAGAAACTAATTTTGAGATAAAATACAAGATTTTATGACCTTAGAATAGCGGGCTTTGGTGTTTTTGGCAAAAAAACGGTTTCTAGCAATAGTAAACAAACGTCTGTTTTCTAGAGAATTATTTAGGCGATAGATATGGAAGTAATGGTTACAATTGGAAATTGCAGCAGCACAATGAGAGGAAAACCATGGTGAAGAATGGGGCTAGACTTGGATTGTTGAGAGGAAATAAAAGATTCCATGCCAGCCTGAATCCAAGAAGTTATGTAAGAAGCACATTTGTCAGCAGGAAGAAGAAGGGTTTCTATCCAAGGGCCATCAAGAAGAAAATAGCAGAAAAAGTTCCTGTCATCTTTAAGGTAGTTGTAAGAAGTACGATGATAGGGAGATCCTGATGACGAGGAAGAATGAGATAATAGTTTGAGAGAGATCAAACCGTAATCTCTCTGAGTGAAACTGAGCACTAACTAAGGTCAGAAAAAAAGACGTAAGTCGAGTAGAGAAGGTAAATCATTCAGATTGTCTGGAAAGCGAATTGAAAAATTGATTATTTGTGTTAGAGACAAAAAAAGTTAAAAGTTGTAGGCCTTAAAATTAAAAAAAATAGTTGATACAAAATTAGAAAATTGAAAATCAGGAAAACAAAAACAAACACTATATTGCTTTACAAATGTCAATCAAATAAATCAACTAAGATTTGACATAAGTAAAACTTTTTATTTCCTATCACTCATCAGTTACAAAAATTGAAAAAATGTTATGTTACACACAAAAACAATTGTATGTAATTAAAACCTAATTTACGTTTAAAATTGATTGTAGGATGTTTGAAAGGTAATGCAATTTGAACATTAAAAAAGTATTTAATTTAATGTATTAAACACTTATTACAATAAAAAACTTAGAACATCGGCAATATAAAAATTAACAAAAAACTGAATACTAATGTTTTGGATGAAAATAAAGCCTAACTACATAAGAAGTTTAGGTAAGCAAAATCAAGCACTGACTTTTAAAAGGAGTGGGATTAAGCTACTGTAAAGTATGAATTTTACCTTATTCAATATTTACATTATGCAATATATGCAATACAAAATTATACAATAAAATTTCCTGTTTTTTTCTTTTTTTCGATAATAGGCGTGAGGGCTATCATAAAAAAAAAAAAAAAAAAAAAAAAAAAAAAAAAAAAAGCGAATTGAAAAATTGATTATTTGTGTTAGAGACAAAAAAAGTTAAAAGTTGTAGGCCTTAAAATTAAAAAAAATAGTTGATACAAAATTAGAAAATTGAAAATCAGGAAAACAAAAACAAACACTATATTGCTTTACAAATGTCAATCAAATAAATCAACTAAGATTTGACATAAGTAAAACTTTTTATTTCCTATCACTCATCAGTTACAAAAATTGAAAAAATGTTATGTTACACACAAAAACAATTGTATGTAATTAAAACCTAATTTACGTTTAAAATTGATTGTAGGATGTTTGAAAGGTAATGCAATTTGAACATTAAAAAAGTATTTAATTTAATGTATTAAACACTTATTACAATAAAAAACTTAGAACATCGGCAATATAAAAATTAACAAAAAACTGAATACTAATGTTTTGGATGAAAATAAAGCCTAACTACATAAGAAGTTTAGGTAAGCAAAATCAAGCACTGACTTTTAAAAGGAGTGGGATTAAGCTACTGTAAAGTATGAATTTTACCTTATTCAATATTTACATTATGCAATATATGCAATACAAAATTATACAATAAAATTTCCTGTTTTTTTCTTTTTTTCGATAATAGGCGTGAGGGCTATCATAAAAAAAAAAAAAAAAAAAAAAAAAAAAAAAAAAAAAGCGAATTGAAAAATTGATTATTTGTGTTAGAGACAAAAAAAGTTAAAAGTTGTAGGCCTTAAAATTAAAAAAAATAGTTGATACAAAATTAGAAAATTGAAAATCAGGAAAACAAAAACAAACACTATATTGCTTTACAAATGTCAATCAAATAAATCAACTAAGATTTGACATAAGTAAAACTTTTTATTTCCTATCACTCATCAGTTACAAAAATTGAAAAAATGTTATGTTACACACAAAAACAATTGTATGTAATTAAAACCTAATTTACGTTTAAAATTGATTGTAGGATGTTTGAAAGGTAATGCAATTTGAACCTTAAAAAAGTATTTAATTTAATGTATTAAACACTTATTACAATAAAAAACTTAGAACATCGGCAATATAAAAATTAACAAAAAACTGAATACTAATGTTTTGGATGAAAATAAAGCCTAACTACATAAGAAGTTTAGGTAAGCAAAATCAAGCACTGACTTTTAAAAGGAGTGGGATTAAGCTACTGTAAAGTATGAATTTTACCTTATTCAATATTTACATTATGCAATATATGCAATACAAAATTATACAATAAAATTTCCTGTTTTTTTCTTTTTTTCGATAATAGGCGTGAGGGCTATCATAAAAAAAAAAAAAAAAAAAAAAAAAAAAAAAAAAAATCAGAAAATTTGATTGTACCAATGAAAAATAATTTTATTTTTAATAATCTTTGTTTTAGGCTATATAAGTTTTCAAAAAAAAACTTTTTAGCTCCATCCAATCTTTTTCATGAAAACAAAAGTTAATTTTTCTAAACTTTTACTGTATAAAATGCAAACTTTAATAAAATCAGTAGCATTGGTAACTAAAAGATATAACTCAAAGAACAATAGCAATCTTATGATTAACAACAATAACAACTAAAATTATATTACTAATTAAAATGTTTTAATAACCATCATTAAAATATTTTTTTCATTTGATATGTTGTAAGTTAGTACAGTAACAAATGCAACACAACAACCTTTGATATGTTGTATAAAGTTAGTACAGTAACAAATGCAACACAACAAACTTTGATAAGTTATATAAAGTTAGTGCAGTAACAAATGCAACACAACAAACTTTCTAAATTTGATAACAACAGAAAAACGTATACAAAGTACAAGATAAAAACCTTTTGAAAAGAAGTAAAAAGAAACTAAAGCTCTACAAAAGTATTTCAATTCAACATGTTGAAAGCTCTACAAAAGCATTTCAATTCAACATGTTGAATGTTTAGCATCCAATTATGTTTTTTTTTAGAAATAGTCATTTCTAAAAAACATCATAATTGGATGCTAAATATTCAACATGTCCAAAAAATATATAAATAATGGTATGGCACTTAAAATAACAACAGATTTTCAAAAAAATAGATAACAATATTATGCCTTATTGTTATTTTAGTACTGGAGTTTTATTAGTATATATTATCATGTTATATTAGTTACTAAATATATATATACATTTTTATTTTAATATATTTTTCATGCTTCATTCAATCATAAAATGAATTGCTCATGAAGAGCAAAATTGCTGCTTTCAAAAAGTTCTCTCTTTTCAACCAGTTTGACATGTACATAAAACTCTATTTTATGAATTCAAACTTGATAAAATCAATAACAAGAACTTTGAAAAACTTTAATTTTAATTTATTATTTAATTTAATTATGCTTATAATTATGATAATAATATTAATTATGTTCAAACTAAAAGCTGACTTTAAATCAGACTGGAAATGCTTTTGATTGACTGTTACACTTATTAAAAAATGTCTTAACCATTTTACCTTTTACATGAGATGGAGGTTGAGCTTTAGTATAAAATACTTTAGGCATTGAAAATTGGCCTTCTCCAGCTTCATTAGATGATTGTATGCGAAAACAATAAGGTGTCAGTTCTTTTAATTTACTTAAAGTAAATGATGTATCCATGCCAGAGTATACAGTATTAAAACTAAACAAAATAACAAAAAAATTTAGTATAAAATGATAAAATTAAAAATCAACAAATAAGCAAATAAACTAAAAATTAAAAATCAACAATTAAACAAATAAACTAAAAAACTATTTAATTATTTTATATTTATTTATGTTAAATCATGAACTTTTTATTTATAGGCTTATTACAACAGGTTTATTACAAAAAGGTCTCACTCACTAGGTCAGTAAAGTTCTATCAATTATAGGAAACAAGTATATCTTTTTATTATTTAATTGATGTTATGAAAATAATCAAGGTTAAACCATTTTTATTATCGAATGTACAATTTTTATTTGTTATTTAAATGATATGTAGTGTTAAAATGACAAATATTAAAAATTTACTTCAGTTGGTTACTTCAGTTGGTTGTTATTTTTTTATTATTAAAAATTAAAAAATTTCTTTAGTTGACTGATGTTTCTTTGATTATTAAAAGTTTGTTTCGTTCAATTGTTTCTACTATTTATCATAAATTTTGCTTCATTTATATATAAATTAAAGAAAAAAAGACTAAATATAGCAAAGTTTTTCAAAATGTAAACAAATATAATACAATTATATGTAATGATAATACAATATAATTATATATATTAAAATACAATATAATTATATATATATATATATTAAAATACAATATGATTATATATATATATATATATATATTAAAATACAATAACTATATATCTTAAAATACAATATAATTTTATATATATTAAAATACAATATGATTATACATATTAAAATGCAATATAATTATATATATATTAAAATTATTCTTTTAAATGTCTTTTTTTTTTTATACTTCTGATTTTATTTATTTTTTGTTTCAGTTAAAAAGCTTTAACATTCTTTTTTATTTTAATTTTGTATTTGTTTGATGTTATTAGAAAATAATTTTATTTTATTTTATTATATTGTTTGTAACTACATTTTATTTTATCTGTTGTTTTTTGTTTTTTTTTAATTAAAATTAATACCTTCCAGATTTATTTTGCATTTGTAATGTGTGATTTAAGATTGACTTCTTTGATGACTGATGTCCCCACTTTAATTTAATACTGTGATAAGAAATAGATGAAGCGCTGAGTGTAGGAGCCAATGGCGGTAACTCTTTTGTATAGAACTGTACATATTGACTAAATGCACCAATGCCTACTTCACTTACAGCTTGAATACGCAATCTACAAGAGTGAGAAATTAAAACATGTAAATATTAAATTTATTATAAAATAATTTTTTAACAACTAGATTACAAAAATAATCATCATTCAAGAGTTTCACAAAAAATATTTAAATAATTATAAATATTTAAATATTTAAATAATTATAAATATTTAAATAATTCAACATTATGAATATCAAAAGTCAGGCAAAAAAAACATGATAAAATTATTTCTAACAATTTTTTCTGTTTTTTTAATGTCTCAATTGTAAAAAAGTTATTCAATTTTCAACTGGAACAATTATTGAATTTCTCACAAAAACATATAAAATACTATTTCAACTCGGGTTACTATTGACATGAAAGAACATTCCTATTCAGACTTACTTATTAACACCTTTAGTATTAAAAAAACTTTCCGAAACAATATTGCGAAAAAAAACTATAAACTGTAAGAAAGAACAATAGACCATAAAAATTATATTATAAATTGATTAACTCTTGTTTAAAAACTTGATTTTATTTATTTTATAATTTATATATAGCCACTATGTAGCAGGCTACATATATAGCCACTATGTAGCAGGCTACATATATAGCCACTATGTAGCAGGCTACATATATAGCCACTATGTAGCAGGCTACATATATAGACACTATGTAGCAGGCTACATAGTGGCTATATAGCAGGCTACGTAATAATCAAGCCTTGGTGAGAAGCGAGAACTTTAGCTTTTGCTCTCACCCACACTTTCTTAAAATGGTTTACGGGAGCAATTTACAGCTGTCGCATAAGGATAATTTTGTCATTAGGTTAACCACTTTCTTTTTTTCTCTATTTTCCGATAATTATTAGAAAAATTAAAAAATTCTGGCGCAAACTACATCGTATAAAAAAGACAAAGCTTGAGTTTCAGATTGACTTTTTTTGCATATAAAATGCTATGTTTTATATGCAAAACTAAATGATTTGTTAAAAAACTGTTAGTAAACATATTTATTCTTTAACTTTTTTTTTTTTATTTTACTTCACCTCCTCAAGGCCGAGAAGGCCACTACAGACAAGGAGGCTACTTATTTTGTGGCTATAACCCTCTCTCAACTCTATAACTCCGAAACACGAACCTTGACGAACAAGGCCGCTGCGCTGAGAAACGAGTTAAGCGCGGTACTACCAGGGACATGGTGGGGATCAAACTCGGAACCACTCGTTTATGAAGCGAGCGCTCTACCACTACACCACTACCGCATTATTAATAAACTATATTAATAAACACATTTAATCTTTAACTAAATTAATAAAAATGCTAAATAAAAAAAATGGGTCTCTAGTTGTTTATTTCAAACAATAAAATTGGTTTTGTTAAATTAAAAAAAAAAGTTTAATAGTAAAACAATCATCAATTGTTATTTAAGTACATCTGTAAAAACAACATTATTTGCAAAACACTTGTTAGATGGCATACCTTGTAATAAATGTTCATCTACATAAAAAAAAACTATTTAATGATCTTGTTCTCTAGCACATATCATAGAGTTGGCAATGTGAGAAGCAAAGATTTATAAATTAAATAACAATTTTTCAAAATGACAAAAAAATCTTTTTCCGCAATAAAATCAATTCAATTCTTGAAACAAAAATTTATATAGACTTTTACAACTCTTTATTTATGAAATTTTCTATTAAATAAGTTGTTAACAAATAAAAGGATAGCTAATCTAAAAACCCAAAGAAAACGCTTGTTTAGAGAACTATTAAATAAAATATGTATTTCATAAGTTTTCTCAAAACCAAAAACTGTTTGTTTTTTCTAAAAAAACTCCAAAAACAGTCATTTATACATTAATAGGTAGTTAAAATAGTTTAAAGATTTCTTGTTTTGACATTTTTAAACATATCGTAGAAAGCATATTGCAGAAAGCACAAATATCGCTAAAAATATATTTTAAAAAGCACTTTGATATTTTTGCATTTAATTTTAATTATTATAAAATTGTATTTAGTTTTACTTGATTTAATATTTTTTCTACCAATAATTAATACATTACATACTAGCAGAATCTTTCAACAATATTTAAATTTTAAAACAATTTTAATAATCAAAACAATCTAAAAAAAACAAGTACAACTAACTTGAAATAGTTTGACAACTTTTTTTGCTTTGATATTTTCATTTGTTGCTTCATTTAGTTTGATATTTTCATTTGTTGCTTCATTTGTTTAATTTTTTATTATTGTTGTTTAATTATTTTAACTAGAGATTGATAAACAACAATAAACCGAAATAATTAAACAATGAAAACAAATTTGTAGTCAAAAAAACTTTTATTTTTATTTTGACTTTCGTATTACTTTAATTATCATAAATCATAGTTTTACATTATACTTTTGTAAACAGATCACATGATCACCAGATCACATGATCACATGCATAATTTTCAGTTAACAGATCACTTTTTGTAAACAGATCACTTTTTTTTTTTATTTTTTTAAATCTTTTTAATTTTCAGTTAAGAATATCATATTTAGTTATTAATTGTAATAAAAAAATATATCATATTTAGTTATTAATTGTAATAAAAAAATATATCATATTTAGTTATTAAGTGTAATAAAAAAATATATCATATTTAGTTATTAATTGTAATAAAAAAATTTAAAAAAAAAAATTTTGAGTTATAATTACGTTGTTTAATTATTTTATTTAAAAAAAAAAAAAAATGTTTTTTGACAATTCCTTTTTCATAATTTTTTTACTAAACTTTGTTTTCTTAGACTTTTTGTTTTCTTTATTTTACAGATCTAATTTCAGTATGTTATATTGGATTTATACCGCAATTATAAAAATGTGCTTTTATAATTAAAAAACCGGTGTAAAACCAGTTATCCAGTTTTACAATTTTAAAAAGCCAAAAAACAGTTTTTTGGAATTTTTTGGTTTTTGCCAAACCCTAGCCAATGTAACAGCGCTCCTTTGAGGTAGCAGGCTATAATATAGACTCCTTAGTGGCAGCAGGCTATTGATATATAAAATAATGATAATAGCGATAATAATGACCATGAAAATAATAATAACAACCAAGATTACAATAACTGTAATAATTTTGATTAAAATAAAAATAGTAGTAATAGTAAGAATTTTTTTTTTAATAATTACTTGTAAAGTGTATCTGGTTCTAATCCAGTCAGTCTGTATTCCATAACATTATCATTCTGTCGAAGTGTTACTGATGATTCTGAACCACTTATTGAGTTATGTAAAACCTCTTCTTCATCACTACTGCTATATTCATCATCAGATGAGTCCAATTTCTCTTGTTTAACTTCGTTAGCCTAAAAATAACAATTATAATAATAAATAAATAATAAAAAAAGTTTAGTCAGTTAAATAGTTTTCATTTAAATGAAAATCAAAAAACTTTGAGTTTTGTTTGTAGAAAAAAAAACTTTAACAACCTTTTCTGAAACAGGAAGGATATCTAACATACTATCTTCTACACAAATTGTGCGTGGTATAGTATATAGCATTGATGTTGTGCCAGTGGCCTCCAAAATATACTCAATAATTTGTGATCCATTATCTTGTGGATGTGGCCACTCGATAAAGCATGAATTTGAAGTTTGTTCAAGCTGTAAAAAAAATGAGTCAAAACACAATACATACAAATACTTTGAATTATTGAGACAAAATAATGTAGCTATACATCTGAAACCCGTTGAATGTATTAACAATGTATCAAACCAATACAATAATCAAATAATAAAATAAAAGTCTAACAGTAATAAAATACATAAAATACAAAGGTTTTCTTACAATCTTGATATCCTGAACAGGACCAGGTGGAGCTGGAGGTGTTTTAACAGTAAAAATAGAACTGTATGGACTGTTGCCTGCTGCACTATGTGCCTAATATGTTTTTCAAAAATGAGTATGACAAACTGAGCATGTAAATTAATTAAATATCGAAAAGAATATTAATAAATAAATAATTATTTTAAATAAAAATAAATTCCATGAGAAAAATAATTTCTAAAATAATAACCTGCAGTCGAAAATAATAAGTAGTGGCAGGTTGAACACCTTGTTTTAAATCACAAAATGAAGTTGTTCCATGAAACACCTTTGAAGAAAAATGAAACAACTTGTAATATAGCCAAAAATTTATATACAAAAGAAACTTGTCCATATTTGACAGTTTCAAGAAAACTGGTTTTCTTGAAACTGTCAAATATGGACAAGTTTCAAGAAAACCAGTTTTCTTGAAACTGTTTTCTTAACAACAATTATGGACATTTGTCATAACAACAATTAATTTTATTCTAGTTACAGTAAAAATATAAACACCAATTAAAACAGAGTGGATAAAAAGTTATTTATCTTTTCATAACAAAACTATAAAATCTCCTTAATTGACTCAAAAAACTTTTAAAGTGATTTAACTGTTAAAAAAACAGCTAAATCGCTCAAAAAGTTGTGACAATGTTGCATGAGATTTTCAACAGGTCTTCTAAAAGAAAACGCTTTTGAATGGAATTCCTCCAGGAATTTCTAAAATTATTCTGTTTTAGATATTTAATTTGTGAACTAAGTAAGTAAGTCGATTTTTTTCTCAGTTTCTCTTCCTCAAAACCTGCTTATTAGTAAACAATTACGCAGAACTTTTTATTACTTATTCCCTTTATCAACTCAACTATATCAAGAAAACAAATAAAGAATTGCATTTAAAAAATTTACAAAAAAATTTACAAAATGAACACTTTATGTAAATGTAAGAGCATTTACATAAAGTGTTCATTTTTTTAATTTTTTTGTAAATTTTTTAAATGCAATTCTTTATTTGTTTTCTTGATATAGTTGAATAGTTTAAAAACTAACAATTTTATTTATTTTAATAATTTTTATAATATAATTATTGTGTATAACACAATAAAATATATAAACAAGATTAATACCAAAGGATCCAAAATCGAGAAAAAATGGAGTCAAAAGAAATCGAGATAAAACACAGTCAGAGGCAAGAAAAAATTGGAGTTATGTAATCGAAGATAATCAAACACTGTTCTTGTATTTATTTTTTTAGTATTATATACTGTATTTTATTTTATACTGTAAAGTTACCTAAGTTCAGTTACCATATAACTTTGGTAATTAAAAAAAAAATATAAAAAAAGCATACTAAACTCAAATTTTACAAACTTTTTTTTCTCAAATAATATTTGTAATTAGTTTGTAAATATGAATATATAAAAAAAAATGTTTATATGCAACCTGCTTAAATAATTCTTAAGCAAAACAAAAATTTGAAAAAATCAGGGATGTGGAGTCAGAAAAAAGGACTCGGTATTTGAAAGTCAGAAAAAGATTACTTATCCCAGTTTTTAGGATCCAGTTAGAGGAACAATCATTTTTTGAACCCGGAGTCATTAGGTATAATGACGGCAAGGACTTCAGGACTCTGGGCTTAAAAAAAATTAGTTTCAAATCATTAAATCTCATGAACTTGTTTCTTATCATAAATCATATGTTTAGAGCTTCTGGACACTACAGGCTTGGAAAAGTAGAGATATAAAGCCGGAGTCCTTTTGGGACTCCGCATCCCTGTAAAAATGCATACTATTAAAATCTAAAATAAGCAAATTTTTAAAATAAATGATCAAATTTAATCTTAGTATTATACTAAGAATCACCAAATTAATTATATTTACAAAAAAAAATTATTAATTTTTGAAAATTAACTGCTTTTTTTATAAAAATGAGTGAAATTTTGAAATACTTTAACTTCAGTCATTCACGAATAAACAACGAAGGAGGCAATTAGCAGTAATATAGTGAAATGTTGATAAGTGTTGCGAATGTAAAATTTACCAGTAACTTTACCTGTAAATTTGCCAGTAAATTTTGACATTTTTTATATTGGACCGAACTTTCAATACCATCTCATAAATTCATATAAAATAATCTCATAAGTTCATTTAAAATTTATTATTAATCTCATAAGTTCATTTAAAATGGATACACACCATGGTATTTTAATTGAATAAAAAATTTGTTCATAATTTCAAAATTAACTGAGGGTTCATTGAGTTCTAAAAAATGACAAGCTTGTGACATTTTTTTGGAGATAAAATTACAGCTCAATGACAATTATGAATGCATTGCGAATCCTGTGACAATTGGTTATGTGGATCTTGCTGTTCTACTATGGTCAATGATACCTGCAAGAATTACCAATAAACATACAAAACTCATTTCAAGCAAAGTAGTGTTTTTTTGTTAATTAAAAAAACCTTTTTAAATTAATTAAAAAATATATTATTAATTTTATTAACCAGTGGCATAGCAAATGCGATAATGGCAAAAGTAATAATATATGACTAATTACAATAAAAAATAAAAATACTACTACTTATATTTAAAAAAAGCTTTTTTTTATGCGCTCCCTCTTGTTTTCTTTGGTGTCCCAAAATACTTTTTTTGGTGCCCCAAAATACTTTTTTTCAAGTCCTGGGCAATGCCCTCCTTAGTTACTGGTATTATCTGAATTTATATCATAATTTTACAAAAAAATAACATTTAAAAATTAGTTTTCATTATTTGTGACATTATGTTTTTTTAAATATTTTTGAAAAAATATTCAAAATTTTTTATTTATGCATGATAAATAAATGTTCAAAGTTTAAGTGACCGAACTTAGGCAATTTTATGGTATTTCAATTTATAATTCATTATAAATTTAAAAAAAATCATATTTTAATATTTCTTAGTACTTAAATATTTTTTTTATCACAATTCTTTCACAAATAGGTTTGATTTAATAAATGGCTTTCTAACCAGCATGGTTAGGAAGGTGGAGTGAACTTTCAGTTAAATGCTCTTCCGTGGTGTTTTCTAATAAAACAGTAAATACTTCTTGGGGCACCTATAACAAAAATAAAGCAAAAAACAAAAAAACAAGTTATTCTGAAGATCTTATTAAATTGTACTTTTAAAATATCAAAACATCAATTGTTTTGTCAGAAAGTGAACTAATCAACAAATCTAAATGAATGTCATTTAGGCAGTTTAGTTCATGCAAAGATCTGTAAACCTCTTGTATGTTTCTTTATAGGACACCCAAACAATGAATATTTCAAAAACTTAGTATTCAAAGTTTCTTTCCTTGTCTTCAAATTTTTTTTTTGATATTTTACATATTTTTCTTTTGACATACATAATCTCTTCCTCTGAATACTTAATAATCAACTTTCCTTCAGCCTCTACTTTAGTTTCTGTTTTTGCTTCAATATCTGATTCAGTTTCTTTTTTTTTGACATCTCAAGGCAATCCTTTTTAGCGTGTCAAATTACAAACACTCAGAGTTGAATGATTCTGACAGATATACAAAATTCTTTTAATTTTTCCATTATAAAAATGGTCATATGTTTTAGCAGAACATGAAGATGGCACCCTTTATGTTCTGCTGATTTCACCATTCCTTAGCAATACGTGCTGTCATGGTGAACATTTAAATTTTAGTACCTCTATTGCTAAACCATTCGCCACTTGTTATTTCAAAATTTTCTTCTTTTGTGTTCAATACAGCCAATTTAGTGATCATTAAATTATGGCTTCAGCGTGAAACATTTTTATTTTTTCTAAAATTATGGACGCTGATTGAATTGTTTCCGATTGAGTTATAGGTCTAATCAAATATCCATCAAGAGCCATCAACTTGGCAAGAAGATAGATTAACAACATCAGTCAAAATGAATCTGGAACTGAATGTATATATATATATACATATACATATACATATATATATATTTATATATATATATATATATATATATATATATATATATATATATATATATATATATATATATATATACATATATATATATATATATATATATATATATATATATATATATATATATATATATATATATATAGAATTGCACATAATGTTTCAAATGCTGCTGTTTACTATAATTTTGCTTAGAGATTATAAAACTCTTGCTTACCTTCTGAAAAAAAAAGGTATTTTATTATACATTGAACTGCAATTGATTTTAGTGTTTTTAAGAAGATACTATTATTGAAAAGATACTATTAATTCTCAAAAGAATTTTTAAAAATAGTACAATGGAATAGTGGGAGTATGTTTTATAATATGGTTTTGAAATTTTTTTGAGGTTTTGTTCACCACCACGCTGTGCAATACTAATTGCCTTGCGACATAAATTAGTGTTGTCATTGATAATTTTTTTTCTAGAGAGACATACTTTTAAACTTACATTTTCACAATAACAAAAAAAGAAATAAATAAGAGTTTATTATTTCACCAGTAAAAATTTTTTATAAAAACTTTGTCGGAGTTTAGTCAAAGTTTCTCAATTTCTCTCAAAACTCCAAAAAATTACTAAAAATCTGATAAGTCAGAGTTTCGATTTATACATAAGATAATTTATACACAATATTTATACACGATATAATTTATACACAATATTTATACACGATATAATTTATACACAATATTTGGGCTGAAACTTATTTTTTAGTGTCTTTTTAAACTACGATAGATAAATTTTTTTTCCAATGTTAAATAGACTAAAAACTTTAACTAATTTTTTCTGGAAAGATCTAAAAAACCTTGATCAAACTTGCATGAAAATGAAGCTCAGTGGAAAAAAGTTGCTAAAATTGAATTTCATTTTGAATTTCTACCAGCAACTGAAGCAGTTATTACAAAGTGTGTTTCTTCTGAATTTTGTATTTTATCAACAAAAAAAAACATTAGTCTAATTTTAAAATCCTATTTAAAAGCACTGTTTTAGAGATTGGTAACAAGATTGGTAACAGCATCATTAAAAGCAATACAAATAACTAATTATACAAATTTTCATAATATTTAAAAGTAACCTTTGAAAAGAATTTCTCTAATTTTAACTTTACCTTTTGAAACAACTCATTTTCTAATTTTTCTAAAGAATACATGGTTATTGGTGCTCCATGTAAAGTTGGTTCCTAAAAAAATAAATTTAACTAACAGCTACTCAAAAAAATAAAAAAAAATGAAAAAAAAAGCAAATTTTATATACAAATGCAAATTACCATCCAATCAAAGAAGATATGTGTGGGTGACTTAAATGAAATATTAGGAGGATGTATAGCTTCAGGTGGGCCAGGTGCTGCTTTGAAACCTACCACTGAAGACCATTGACTCGACTAAAATATCAATATTTTTTTAATGTTATTTTATATGTTAACTTCAGAATTGATAATTACTTCAATAAATTACCTCAGCAGGGCTCAATTTAAGCGTATTGCGATCATATTGCGATCACAAATATTAATTGCTTTTTGCAACTTTTTTGCACAGCGATTAGTTTTTTCTTTAAAAAAAAATTTCACAATTTGTTTTCTTTTTTTTTTCTTTTTGTTCTTTTTTTTTTCTTTTCTAGTTTATCATTTTTTTGGCCATTCTTACAAGTATAGAATGTTTTTGTATAAGGTTTTTATTAGGGGCCATAAAGTAAGTCACACTAAATTTAACTTTTAAATCATCAGCTTGAACAGTTAATCGTTTAAAGTGGTTTAAATATTATAATATTTGCATTTTTACTTTTAATTTTTTAAACATTATGTTAAGTAAAAATAATTACTAAAATTACTATTGTAATAATATTAAATATGTTACTTGCACATTACATTATAATTGTAACTTAAGCTGAAAATATAACTTAAGCTGAAATTATAACCGTATGCTATTTTAAATTTCATAGCATCGATTTGAACCCTGCTCAAAGTATAAATAAAAAACTTTTTAAACCAATATTACAATACTCTTACCCCTGCAGAGTTTGTGGCTTGTACAGAAAAAAAATATTCTTTTCCTGGTTCTAAATCTCCCACAGAACACCCTTGCTTTACTCCATTATAAACAATATCACTCTCTATCGAAACAATAATTATAACAAAATAAAGCTTTAAAATGTAAAAAATGAAAATAACAAGAATCTACAAAATCAAAACCTTACTTCCATCCTTATGTACCATCTTTACACTATATGATGTAATTATTGAACCACCAATGTCAAGTGGAGGATCTAACAGAAAATATATATATATATATATATATATATATATATATATATTTATATATATATATATATATATATTAAATCAAAATTAATAAAAATGATTTTATCAAAACAAGATGACACACCCCATTCTAAATGTAAGACATTCATTTCAGGAGCCAAAGACAATCGCGGTGGATTAACATTTTTAGGACATACTGCCAATGTTGTAAAATTTGCAACTGGTGAAAACTATTAAAAAATCATAAAGTATTGTTACATAAATGTTTTTAATTTGTATATTGGCACGTAGCAAAATAAATTGGAAAAAAATAGTAAAAAAAAAAATAATAATAATAATAAGAGAAAAAATATTGAAAAAATAATAAAGTGGAAAGGTTTTACAACAAAAGTTTATGTAAAGTTTTTTTATCTTTTTATTAAAAGAAATTTTGTAGAAATTTCCATAGAAAAATCCAGCTTATTAAAATAATAAGTTTTAGTTAACAATTTTCAATAAAACTTGTAAACTTTTTTGACAACATCAGTATCAGTGTTATTGAAAACATCAGTATCGGTGTTATTGACAACATCAGCATTAGTGTTATTGACAACATCAGTATCAGTGTTTTGACAACATCAGTATCAGAGTTATTGACAACATCAGCATTAGTGTTATTGACAACATCAGTATCAGTGTTTTGACAACACCAGTATCAGTGTTATTGACAACATCAGTATCAGTGTTATTGACAATATCAGTATCAGTGTTATTGACAACATCAGCATTAGTGTTATTGACAACATCAGTATCAGTATTATTGACAACATCAGTATCAGTGTTATTGACAACATCAGCATTAGTGATATTGACAACATCAGTATCATTGTTTTCACAACATTACTACACTTGTTATTGACAACATTTATCATATATTTATAATATAACATCAGTGTGCTTTTTACAATTTATCAATTTATCATTTTTCTAAACATTAGTATTAATGTTTTGCACAATACCAATCTTAATCACAACATCAGTATTAATGAGTCAAGTTCTTATTAAACTTAAACAATGCTCATAGTAACCAAAAATATTTAACATAAAAAATCATCACTGCTTCAATATCTTTCAATATATCAACAGCATTATATTTCACAAAACCTTATTTTTCATAATTATGTTTTTTTTTTTAACCTTGATCGACAAGGATTCATTTTTTGAGGTTTATTTAGACAACTATTGGAAATCAAGCTTTAGTAATTTTAGTTTCCAAAAAAAAAATTTGCCGAAGCCGATGATTCAGAAAACTGTACCCCTGGTTTCAGACAAAGATAAAACCGAATTTTTGGTTATTAATTAATTCACTTATTAATTGTAACACCTGTTTGTTGGGAAATCAGATTTGAATCCTCCACCCTTTCTTTTATGTGTTTCTGTTTAGCACCTCTTCATATTTCTCTTTGTTCTTTATCATTCTTCTCAAGACTGCACTTTTTCAAATGTAATTTCTGATCAAATTGACCATGCCTTTTCTCTTAAACCCTCAGCTAATATTGTTATTATTAGTGACTTTAATGCTCATCACACTGAATCACACTGAATGGATTGGCTCTAGCACTACTAACACTGCTGACTCATAACTTCTGTATTTTTTAATCTCTTACTCAGTTAACTTTGTGATTTATTTTCCAGACCAGCCCAATTTCTTTTTAAAAGAAATTGGGCTGGTCTGGAAAATGAATTTTTCAAAGTCATCCTCGAAAGCCAAAATTTTCTTCATTTCTAGTAACTTATGGGGTTTCTCAAGGTTCTATTCTTGGCCCTGTTTTGTTTCTTACCTACATTAATCTTCCTGACTGTCTTACATCTAAAGTAGCTCTATTTACTGATGACTCAACTTTCCTGTCTTGACAAAAAGTCTTCACTTTTCCATTGCTTAGGACAGGCAGCCGATCTTAAATCTGAACTTCTGTAACAGATTGGGGCTTGCAGTGGCTTGTAAATTTCAACTCTAACAAAACTCAATTTACTGCAAACAACTACTGCAATACTTTTAACATTTTGATAAATAGCAACCTTCTCACATCTTTTTTGTTTTTTCATCTTCTTGGATTAAAGTTTATTACTGACCTCTCATAAAAATAATATACAATTGATTGCTAAGTTAGCATCTGCTAAGGTTACTTCTCTTTATTATGCTAGCAATTTTCTTACTCTTGATTCAATTCTCTACCTTAACAAATTTCTTAATTACCCCTGTATAGAATACTGCTAATATATTTGGACTTGTTCTTTTAATGATGCTTTTTCTCTTTTAGACAAGACCCAAAAATGCATTGTAAATGTAGTTAGACCTGCTCTATCGCCGAGCCAAGCTTGAGTTTCTTTTCCAAACTCATAAGTTTGACTCTTTTTCTCTTTTCTACAAATACTACCATTATAGCTGCTCAAAAGAGCTATCATCTCTAGTTTCATCAACCAAAACTCATTCTTGCTTGACTTACTATTCAGCAAAGTCCCATCCTTTTATTATAGTTGTCTGTGCATTATTTAAAAACTCTTATTCGTCAAGTTTTTTTTCCCTGCACTTCATTCCTTTGGAACTCTCTTTCATTTTACTGTTTTCTTGACTAATACAACCTACAACTTTTCAAATCTTCTGTCAACTTTTTCCTTGCTCTTTAACTTTATTCTTTGTTTTCTAGTAACTCCTAACTTAATAGTGGTTGCTTGCAGCTTTGTTGGGTGTAAATCAGAATAAAAATTAAAAAATGTTAGTTGTGAGTGAATCATAATAAAAATACATAAAAAAAAAAAAAATATATACCAGCCACCAGATCATCAAGGAAATAATTAATAATATTTTCTATAACTACATAACAACAGATCATATAAATATAATTAGGTTTTTTAATACTGTTTTTTTAATATTAAACTTTATAGTATTTTAAAACTTTACAAATTTTAAATTAAATATGTAATAGATTGTATATCAACAAATAAAAATAAAAAGAAAAAATTTTAAACAAATTACAGTTCCAATTCCAACTTTACTCTCGGAAGCAACTTTGACTTGGTAAGTGCGTCCTGGTTGCAAGTTATTTATTACAAATTCATTATCAGGCCCATGGTATACTTTAACAAATGATTGGCCTGAAAAAATAAATATCATAATTTTTGTAAAGTATATGATAGCAGGTGTCAAAAATACAATGCTACCTACTATCAACTTTTTTCTCAGCTTCGTTTTGTATTTTTAGAAATTAAAAAAACTAAGTTTTTAGTTATTTTATAAATTATGCATTATAAAATAACTAAAAACGACCATTTGCAAGTTTCATTATATTAATCATTGCAGGAAAAAACTAAGTTTCGAAAACAAAAAAAGCAAAACTAACAAAATAGGAAATAAAAGGAAATTTAAATGGAAAAAAAAATTTTAAAAATTAATAATTTAAATAATTTGTGTACTGTTTGTTTCTTATGTTTCTTTAGAGTGGTTGATATTTTCAGCAACAAAATTAGATGAGGCAAAGCAAAAAAATAAAAAAACAATTTTATGTCTACATTAAAAAGAATGATTTATAAATTTATTTATAAATATTATTTATTTGTATAATTTTAATGTAACAAGTATATTATATGAAAGCGCCTATGTAATGCAAGTGTATACTTTTTGTATTATATAATTATATATTTTTTTCTTTGTATCTGTATGAAGGTTTAGCTTATTTGGATAAGGCGTCAACTTTGTTAAGAGAATGTTTGTGGTTCGAGACCCAACTCTTCTTAATTTTTTTTGTTTTTTAACACACGAACAAAGCCAAACGTAAGAAAAAAGTGTCTCCGCTATAAAAATTGCAGATAAAAAACATACAGGAAAAGAAAGGTAATATGAAACAATTAAAGCTATGCGTAGATGGCATGGCCTAACTGAAGCTTAAAAATTATATACATATGTGTGTGCGCCTTACTTAGAAAATACACTGAGTTATAGTTGTAGGAATTAACGCTTAAAATTAAGGCCTTATCCAAATAAGCTATACATGTGTTTACTCAAGAACAAATAAATATAATTATATAATACAAAAAGTTATATATAAAAGTATATGCATGCATAGCATAGACGTTTTTTTATAGGGATAATATATACTTGTAACATTAAAATTATACAAATATATTTTACAAACAGATGGGAATTTATATTTTCATTTTTTAAAAAAAAATAATAGGAAAATCATTCTTTTTAATGCCAACTTAAAACTTTTTTTTTTTGCTTTGACTTTTTTTTTTGAATTATTTTGGGTTGCTGAAAATAACAATGACTCTAAAAAAACAAAAATAAAAACAGTACACAAATTATTTAAATTATTAATTTTTTTTTTTCTATTTAAGTTTATTTTAAATTCCAAATATGTTAATTTTGCTTTTTTTGTTTTTGAAACTTTTTTTAGCAATAATATAATAAAACTCACAAACGGCTGTATATATATATATATATATATATATATATATATATATATATATATATATATATATATATATATATATATATATATATATATATATATATATATATATATATATATATATATATATATACATTAGGGTGACACAAAGTAGGGTCGAAAAATAAAATTTTTCAAAAATCAATAACCGCAGTTGCTTCTCCTGTTCTACAACATTCAGTTAGTCTAAAAACAAAGTATCACTTATTTTTATTCTTTGGAAGTGCTACATGTAATTTTTTAAATATTGAGGATTGGCTGAACTTTATGTCATTTTTTACGGGTTAAAATATGTTTATATCTAAACTTTTGTTTGATCTTACAAGAAAAAAAAATACTGTTTATAGTTTCATACAGTTAGCTATTATTTTACAATAATTTTTCAACTCTAGGTTTTAGCTTTACCAGTTCCTTAAGCGACATATCTTTTGTTATAAGCTTTCTGTGCTCTCTGACTACCAGAATGTTCTGTCTCTGATCCTCATTGTGGGAACTGTGAACAAAGTTTTCAATTAAACTAATATTTCTTTCTGCGCAATCGTTGGTCACACTAAGATTGCAAACTAACTGAGCAAAATTTTTGTATGAATCTAGCGCTAAGAAATCACTTGAAGTATGCCACTCTCGAACAGATTCGGTGTGACTTGTAAGTATAAAAAATAGCCAACTCTCCTTCGTAATTAAATCCTCTAATCGACTATCACTGGTAACGTTAACAGCAGAAGGAGCTGTAACAGAAATCTCTGATAACTCAGGGATTGGAAATTTTAAAAGTTTCTGAATGAGTAAACGCTTAGCATCTGCTTTCATATAAGGATCACCTAACGATAGTACGACAACTTTAGGAGACAAATACCATGTGTGGTTACTCATGCTTTTTTGAAGTGAGTTTCCAACTTCATAATCCCATTCTGTTTTAATTGTTTCAACAATTTTGAATGCATTAAAATCATTCAGAACAGCATGCTCTGCTTTGCCTGAGTTAAGAAAGGCAGGTCCATAATAAATAGCAACAATAAATGCTACCCTTAAGACCATATGTTTTTTTTCAGGAGTCAGATATTCAACGACTGTGGATGTCATATCGAGCATTTGAAAATATATTGCATAGGCCATAAACCTTGCATTGTGACAGTCGCCAGGCTGATAGATGTGAAAATTATTTAATTTCTCAGACTTAACATTCATGTAATACGCCAAGTATTCAACAAGATGCCTGTAATCATTCCTAAAATATTCCTAATTTTATTTAATAACTTTAAAAAAAAAAAGTATATTCATGAAAAAACTAATTTATTTTATATTATTTTTACATACCTGGGGAAGAGTTCATGTTCTAGTGCTTTAGTAACAAACTTTTTAGACTTCAAATAGAGTTTGCAGAGATCACTGCCAACAATAAGGTCTTGCTCAGGAAATCGTTTGAACTTTTCTACAGCACCACTAGCTGAAACTTTAGGAAAAAATTCTGTTATCCATTTCTGCTGAAAATCTTTTAGTAACTTATTCGCAGGGGCTTTAGACATTTCCATTGAAACTGCCTTTAAAGCCCAAGTAATATTTATTTTGGCAATATGGTGTCTACACAATAACCAAAGAAATGGTTTACCAAGAAATCTTGCCATAATAGTTATTGCACCAGATTTCCATCCAGTGTTACTTACTGTGGTGTCAGAACAGAATCCTACAATATAGTCACAAATTTCAAAATATTCTAGGAGATTCATAATACTTATAGCCATATCGATTCCATTACCACTATCAGTTGGCACAACACCGAGTAAAAGATCATCTTTGGTTTCAAACTCTGGGCTAGTAACAGATACTGATAGTCTATCTGCAGTAGTTGCCTGTCTAGTGTCCTCTTCAATATGCTTTAAAATTTTACCATCAAAATGTAAAACTAACATCTTGTTAGCCATTAAATTAATATATTCATTACGTATCTGGCCTCCTTCCTCTTCTAAAAATCTGTAACGTCACCTTCTGACAGATCCTCTGCTTAACTTTAGCTGTTTAACATCTCCTCCTAAATAGTTTACTACGCTTGCAATAAGAAGGGTTTGATCTCGAATGCTGAGACCAGCCCTTATACTGGTGGAAGTTGTTGTTGCAATGAGACCTTCACTGGTTATCTCCTTTTCTACTCTGAAATATGATGGTCTAAACTGATGCCTACTTTTTGAGCTTGCTTCGTGAAAATTAACATTTTTATTTGGGACAAAATCTTCCGACTTTAGCAATTACACTTCCAGCATCTAAATTAATATAAAGATTCTTAGCTTAGCTATACATTTACTTCAAAAAATTACTAGTTTTGCCTAAAATGTCTGTGCATTATTAGAAAAAATTGTTTATATTCTCTCTTTTTATTTAGTCATAAGTTGAAACAAATATTTTTATGTGTTTAACAAATTATACTTAAATATTACCAAATTGTGATTCAGCTTGTTTTTTTAGGTTCTGTAGTTTTTAGGTTCTGTAGGTTCCTCACTTGCGAAATTGAAATTTATATCATTGTTAGGAAAAAAGTTGTGATTCCATTGCCTTTTTTCCCCAATTTTTTCTTTGTTGTCACGAATTATCGAATCGTTGCTCTTCTGTACTCGATCTTTATATTCTTCTTTCCTTCTGCATCTATCAATCTTTCTCTCAAACCTTGCTTCAAGCTCTGTGTCAATTTTAGAAGATATGATCATATTTCTGTTAGTTCTGTGCAAAAAGTTGTTAAAACATTTAGCGTAAGATAAATTTGAATAAAAAAATAAAATTTCTCAAAAAAATGATTTTTTTATATAAGGGAAAAATTAGTAGATATATCATAATTAAAAAATAGGTTAAATCTTCGCAAAAAAATTTGAGCAAAAAATACCTTTGATCATTTAAGAAGGCCAAAGTCCTTCGCACTGATGTCAAACAATTGCTCTACCATATTGTAAAAGTCATTTTTGTGGCGTTCGAAAATTTGCTTTTTGATTTGAAAGGTTTTACTGTTGCACACAGTTTTGTATTTGCTGTATAGAGATTTAAACTTTTCCACTATACTTCTCTCAGAAATTAAGTAATTACTGAAACCAGCAGACTTCCAAATATTTACAATTTGTCAAAGTTAACAGTATTTTTCGGTATTTGAATTACAAAACTAGTCTTTCCCTTTACATATAACATCCTCTCGTGCTCGAGAACATGAAAAGTTTATTTTAATAGGTTTGAATCTCTAGCTGAAGTTAGGAACAAGTAATATCGAAGAACACTTCTATTTGATGGGAGTTGGTTTGTAGGTAGATAGCTTAAAGTCGAATTAAGCAGGTAAACAGACCTCCGAGCGTTATAGCTAATTTCTTTTGTTTTCCTCTCCTTGATTTTCAACATTTTGTACGGATATGTAAACAGTAAAAAAAAATCGAAGTTTAAAGTAAGATAATTAATAAATCTAAAGTTGCCAAGTGATTAAACGCAATCCACTAAGTTTATGGTGCAATTAAAGTTTTTAAAAAATAGTTGTGAATGACCACAAATATTTTAAAAACATCTCTGGTAGAACAGGAAAATGTACTGCGGCTTTTTTTTTTTTTTTTTTAATTTTTTGTCACCCTAATATACATATATACATATATATACATATATATATATATATATATATATATATATATATATATATTTATATATATATATATATATATATATATATATATATATATATATATATATATATATATATATATATACATATTGTCACCTTGACATTTTATAATACCTAAACCGTCATCCATTTCCAAAACATAACCAATTATTTGATCCCCACCAGTATCTTTTGGTAATCCTAAATAAAAACATAAATAGAGCATTCCACATCTTTTATACAAAACATTTTATAGGATAAATATCAATAAATGGATTAATTAGAATTATGATAATTATGATAACAATGATTTTAATTAAAATACAGGTTGTGTATAAAACTTTATCTTTATCTGACAACATCAATGTTCACAACAGTTCAAGTACAATACTAGCCACCTTTTTTAATCTATGCAGTCACTAGAAACATGTTGTTTAGGAAATTTACTGTTTGCTGTAGTTTATGGGGGGAGGGGGTTCTTTTTAAACCTCTTCCTGGTGCCAATTGTAAGTACTGCATATATTTGTTACTTTAGGCTCCATTTTTTAGCTCAATATTATAATTTTGAGATGCATGTCATTTTAAAATTGCTAAGAAATTTATTGAGTTAGATGCAAAATTATATTTTTCAATATTTTATTTGAGAATAGTCTAAGAAAATATTGCTAATTCATTTGAAAATATTTGAAAAAAAATAAGTCAAAGGGTAGAATTTATGAAATAGACAATTGGTGACAGCTTTACTGCATTTGATCACTTTTTTAAGGTACAAGACAAGTACTTAAGATACAGGCAATGCAAAGTAGTAATACAGGTAAAAAGTTAATGTTTTATTTTTTTTAATATTTAAAAAATAAAAATTAAAGCAGAACTTAAAAGTACAGTTGATTGCGCCAGAAATTTAAAAATCATAAATTAATCATTTATAATGAGTTATACTTCATGTTAAAGCACTCCATTATCTATGAAAATGATATATTTTATACTAGTGATGTAAAATCTACTTCATCTACAGTTAAATACCAAACAAAACATTTCAAAAAAATTACTTCTATGGATTATATTTTTTCTAAAAAAGACATTTCTCAGCCCCCATTTGTGCCTAGTAGACTGTCTGTAAATCAAGAAATCTACTTTAACAAATGCATTAAAAAGATATTTATTCCATTCGTTGACAACTATCATTCAGATGGTGCATATGTATTCTGGACCGATTTGGCATAATCTCACTATGCAAAAACAGTAGTGTACCTTAACAAAAAAAAAAGTGCATTTTGTTGAGAAAGCAGACAGCCCTGCATATTGTCCTTTCGAAAATATTTGGAGCATTTTAAAATATCATTGTTTAAATGAAATACAGGTAAAAAAAACAAACAAGATTGTTGTTACAGGTAAAAGTTGTTACAAGATTAATTAGCACGCAGAAAGTCTTTATTAAAAATATGTCATAATAAAGTTGATAATATGCTCACACAGAGTTTAACTCAGTCTATACCAGGCCTAGTTGATAAAGTCAGAAGGTATGGTTTAATTGGAAAAAACTAATAATATAGAGAAAAACTAGAATAGAATTACTTTCTAAAACTTTTTTTTTTTTCCTTATCTTATACCTTATAAGAGATATGTTTCAGTCCAGTCTCATTTTTCAGTTATCACCCGTCTGATGAAAAAACTCAGAATTTTGTTAAAAAAATAAGTTATAAACAAATCATTAAAATTATTTTTGTATGTACTTATGAAAGTTAAATTTTACTTAAAGTAATTTAGTAAAATTTAACTAATAAAGTTTATTCAGTTAAAAAAATTGTTCTGATTGATGCAAAGGTCGAACGATTGATGCGAACGTTCTGATTGATGCAAAGGTCGAACGTTCTGATTGATGCAAAGGTCTGGAAAAAGATGTTGATATCTTACAAATATTGAACACATAAATGCCACATAACTAGAATTGTGATTTTTTGAAATAGAAACTTGAGAGCTTATGTTCAAACTCTGTTATAAGTTTATAAGTTTAACTTGAAAACAATTAAAAAAATGAAAATTTTACAAAAACTTTTAAGAAAAATGAAAACTACAGAAAAAAAATATGTAAAAAGCTATATAATTACAAAAAATATAAATTACCCCATTTGATAGGAATTGAAAATGGTTTAATTTTTCCATTTAACATAGGCTTAGCCATCTTCCCAGGAGCTTCAGCCAAAGTTGAATATGTAACAGGAACACTATATTTACTTGATCCGTAGTCATTTGTAGCCATAAGCTTTTTTTAGATAAAATATTGAATATATCTTTTATTATTATCATTATTATCATTATTAATATTATTGTTATTATTGTTATTATATAATTCATTTTATTATATTATAATCAATACTATTCAAGTATTTTTATTTTACACAAGTCAAACGTAATGCTAGTCATATAAACTTTGAAAAAAGTGTTTTAGCAACTTTATTTCTAAAATATTTTCTGTCAATTGTTCTTACTAAGTTTCATACAAACCAACTAGAATGGAAATCTTCTAAACATATCCTTTTATTATTATGATCAAACAAACTTTATCACTCAAACAAAATGCATTCACCAAAAATAAATTTTAACCATAATTTTTTATGATCTTTTTGTTTTTAATAACTTTGTTATTAACTATTAACTCTATTAAGCAAACTATGTGAAAAAGTGTAACTGCGAATTGTAATTAACTGTGATAAGGTGTAACTGCAAAGTGTAATTAACTGTGATGAAATGTAACTGCTATGTGTAATTAACTGTGATAAGGTGTAACTGTAAATTGTAATTAACTGTGACAAAGTGTAATTGCTGAGTGTAACTAACTGTGATGAAGTGTAACTGCAAAGTGTAATTAACTGAAGTAGTGTAAATGCTAAATGTAATTAACTGTGATAAAGTGTAATTTCTTAGTGTAATTAACTGTGATTAAGTGAAATTGTTTAAAGAAGCCCCAAGGAGAAGAAGTTCAAACATAAAGTTTACTTTTTCCATGATAATATTGCAAAACCAATGGTGCAAAACTATTGGAGGTTGGCTGAAAAGTGTTCCCTAATTTGCTCTACTAACCCAGCTTAGTGATAACATGTTAATTCTTCTGATCACTTAGCGTCAGCTTAAGGGGAAACTATGAAAACAGCAAAAGATTTAACACCAAGGAAGCTGAAACCTCTTCATCAATTCAAAATCTAAAGATTTTATATACTGTCTACGATTTAGGATTGTAGACAATATAAAAAACCACCAACTGGTCTCAAATTTTTATTTACAATTTTCATTAACATTTAAGATTGCTACAGAGCCAATGATAATAAAATAAGTAAATAAAAATAAGTAAATAAAAAATGTTCTAATGATAATAAAATAAGTAAATAAATAAGGAGCATTTTAAAATAAGGAGCATTATATATTTTTTAGCTGAGAAATATTTTTAATTGGAGCAGTAATTTTCAAACTTAAAAAATTTAAAACAAAATCATCAACATTTTGATTAATTACCTCTTTATTTATCTTTACTAAGAGTTCTAAAGATATCCATTTGGTGGCTTGTATCCTGGTCATCAAATTTGGTGTGGAATTATTTTTTACGAGGGACAAAAAGTCAAAAATCTGCTTACACTGTAGGCACTTCAAGTAATGAAGTGCATATAGTGTAAGCAGGTTTTAAAGATGCTGGGTGGATGTACAAAACCAATGCATACCCATTTGCAAGCAAAGCACAATAAGATATTAAACAAACAAAAAATTGATAACGATTTAAGTGTTGCTGGTGCGAGTGCTGTTAATATAAATAAAAAACGCAAAACTTTAAAAGATTTTTATAATTTAAATTAGACAAAAGTTTTGCTGCAGTAATATCTAAAATGCTTGCTTCAGACAGATTATCGTTTCATGTTTTTTGTACTTCAGAGGATGTAAAAAAATATTTAATAATGCGTGGATTTGATGTTCCTTAATCACCCTCCAGTATACAGAAGATTGTAATGGACTTCAGCAAAAAAATTTGCTAGTCAATAATTGCAGAAATAATTTCCTAAAAAAGGAAGAATTATTTCAGTGTCAGTGTCACATTTTCAGTGTCACACTTTCAGTGTCACAAAAAAAGAAAAGTATATTTCAGTGTCACACTTGGCAAGTGGACTTCTCGTAACCAGCATTTTACATACATGGATCAAGAGGTCATGTTTGGAAATTGGGGCTGTCTTGTTTTAATGGTCAATGTTGGAAAAGAAGCTTGAAACTTACCAATTAAATATTCACAATGGTGTTTTTTTGCGTCGTGCCTCAACATGACAGTGCCTCAACAATGTAAAAAGTGTGTAGATAAATTTTATGTTTTATCCATGCAATTCAAAGTGCTGTATGGAATATATTCTATAAAAAGCAAACTGAAACAGATGTTAGATCATTTAAACGTTTTAAAATCTTCATTAAAGAAACTACTAATTGATATCAATGCGAACATACTTTTATATGAAACGGAATGGGATAAAATATCACAGATATTGAAAAATTTGATGCCAATAAAATTAAATGTACTGGCGCCAACTTAATATCTGCAGATGCAACATTTACGTTTATATTACAAAATTTAAGTGAAGATAATAAAATTGGCCTTGCATTGTGAAAAGAGTTAGAAATCCAAATTAACCAAAAAACTATTTTATCTGATGTTTTAAAGTATTATAAGAGTATTTCTGAAATAAATAACTTTATTCTAACCCTAAAACAGAAATAAATAACTTTATTCTAACCCTAGCCGTAATAATGAAACTTCTCTGGAAGTCGATTCAACCAATTCTGAGTCTGATCCTGATATAGAATTTGAACTTAAACCTAATGAAAGTAAAACTGAATCCTTGGTGAAATTGCTATGGAAAAAAATTTACACCCAAGAACAAGAACTTTAAAAAACCCATCAATTCAATCAGTAATACCAAACTAAATTAAATTTTGGTATGAAAGTAGGTCGCATAGACCATTTTGAAAAATATTTACAATAATCTGTTGTGTATTCCTCCAACAAGTGTTAAAGCAGAGAGAACTTTTTCCATTGTTTTCAACAAAAATCAGGTAAAGACTTAATGATACAACATTGGATAATTTGTGTATGTTAAGAACCTTTTTTAAAAATCAGGATTAAAAAAAATGTTTTTATTTATTATTTATTTTTCTCATTCAATTTGTTTTGTTTATTTCATTTTTTTTATTGAATTTTTTTTTGTTTTACTGAGATACTTAAAAAAAATTTAACTTTATTTAATTTGAAATACTTTGAAAGTTTTTTTTTCTATCGAGTTTTTTGCAATTCCGAAATTATATTGCAATATAAATTTTGGTATGAAAGTGGTAATAATATAATATAATTTTCATACCAAAAATAAATTTTGGTATGAAAATTATATTGCAATTCTGAATTTCATTTCATGTAATTCTAAAAACTCCAGAAATCATTTCTCAATAATGGATTTGCTATTTAAAACTAATACTCCCTCCATTCCGAAATGTTTAGATTTGCATTCAACATAAAGAATTATTAAAAACAAATTATGTTGTTAATGTTTTTTTATTTTCTACAAACAGTACATTTTGTTAATATTTTATTATATAAATATTTTATTATAAAAAACATTTTATATATATATATATATAAAAAAAAAAATTAACAACAATTTATTTTCAATAATTCTTTATGTTGAATGCAAATCAGAACAGTATTACGGAACAGAGGGAGTATATTGCTAAATACTTTGGCAACATCATAAGCACTTTCTTTTTTCTTTTTCTTGCATTCTCCAAATGTTAAATCTTAACACTCTGTTTTTTGCTTTCCTTGTAATAGTTACATATTACTCTATTTGGTAGAAAACTTAAAATGGTTACTTCATTTTACTCACTAGCTTTATTTTGTTGATCACATAATATGGTCACTTCATTCCATTCACTATTTCTATTTATTTGATAACTTAATGTGATCACTCCATTCCACTCATTAGCCTTATTTAATTTATCTTTTAATACACTTAGTTCATTCCATTCACTTGTCTCATTTCTTTCCCCTGAATTATACTTTGGCATGTTGAGAACGTATCTACTTATATTTTAAATATAACTAAAATTTTAAAATAATATTTCTACTTCAAATTATTTAAAAACAGCTGTTAAATAACTATTCAAACTTTGTTATTAAAGATTTGTACCTTAGCAAAAACTCAAAAACTTAAAGTTCAAAAAGCAAAAACCAGTTAAATAAGTAAATAATTAAACCAATAATATAAAAAATTCTAACATTGTTGTGATGCTGAAATGGATTGCACAATAATCAAGTTGTTGTCTATTTGACAAGTTTTTAATATTAACTTTTAATAATTCTTCAATATAATAGTCTTAAGTTACCCAGAACTTGCTGTATATTTATTGACCGTTAGATATTAAATTTGAGCTTGAAAAGGATCTCACTTATGCCCACAGCATGGGGCTCACAGCCAATTGTTATCGCAATAATTTAGACTTTCCTATATTTATGAACAGTAACGTACTTGATGAGTCATCTACCCTTCATCTTATGGGATTAACTCTTACTTCTTTCTTGGAAACCATATATCAAATCCATTGCAAAATTAGCGTCTGCTAAAGTTGCATCTCTTTATCGAGCTCGACACTTTCTTACACATGATTCTTTTATATCTATAAATCTCAAATCCGGCCTTGTATGGAATACTGTTGCCATATCTGGGGCGGATCTTCTAATGATGTTCTTTCTCTTTTAGACAAGATGCAAAAACACATTGTAAACATAGTTGGACCTACTCTTACAGCCAACCTTCAACCATTATCTCTTCATCGTAATGTTGCTTCTCTTTCTCTTTTCTACAAATACTATAATGGGCACTGCTCTAAAGAGCTAAAGTCTCTTGTGTGATCTACTAAAATTAATTCTCGTGTTACTTGTCATTCAATTAAGTCTCATCCTTTTTCTGTGACTGAAGTGCTCCAAAAACTTTTATTCTTCTCTTCCAACTCTAATTAGTGGTTGCTTGCAGCCTTGTTGGATGGTTACTTGCAGCCTTGTTGGATGGTTGCTTGCAGCCTTGTTGGATGGTTGCTTGCAGCCTTGTTGGATGGTTGCTTGCAGCCTTGTTGGATGGTTGCTTGCAGCCTTGTTGGATGGTTGCTTGCAGCCTTGTTGGATGGTTGCTTGCAGCCTTGTTGGATGGTTGCTTGCAGCCTTGTTGGATGGTTGCTTGCAGCCTTGTTGGATGGTTGCTTGCAGCCTTGTTGGATGGTTGCTTGCAGCCTTGTTGGATAATTGCTTTCAGCCTTGTTGAATGGTTGCTTGCAGCCTTGTTGGATGGTTGCTTGCAGCCTTGTTGGATGGTTGCTTGCAGCCTTGTTGGAAGCAAAGATATTTAAAAAAACAATTTCAAACAAAAAAAAACTTTCAAACAGAATTTTTGTGATTTATTTTCATGAATTTTAATGAATTTCAAACAAAAAATCAATCATGTGAAGTAATAAACTTTCTCAAACTTATAAATAAAACTTATATATTATTATTGTATTTTTATTGTACAGTGTAAGTAAGGGAAAATTCGGTAGTGGTAGAGCGCTTGCTTCATAAGCGAAAGGTTCAAGGTTCGATCCCCACCACGTCCCTGGTAGTACCGCACTCAACTCGTTTCTTCGCGCAGCAGCCTTGTTCGTCAAGGTTCGTGTTTCGGAGATATACAGTTAGGAGATAGTTATAACCACAAATAAGTAGCCTCCTTGTCTATAGTAGCCATCTCAGCCTTGGGGAGGTGAATTAACAAAACAGAAAAAAAATTGGCTTAATTTCAACATTCAGAAAGTTTAATTTATTTTTGATGGGAAACATTTTTTCATGGAATTTTTTTTTCAATAGATAAAGAATTTTGTTTTTATAATAATAAGTTAAAATAAGTGAAGTTTCAAGTAAAAAATTTTAAAGTGCAGAAAATTTTTGAAAACAATTTATGTCAATCACAAATTGTTTTCAAAAATTGTTTTTATGTTTTGTTTTATTTTTGTTCTCTAACTATTGTTTTAGATTCAAGCTTCTCATTTAATTGAGTTTCTTCAGTCAAAGATTCTCATTTGATTCTTACAGATTTCTTTGTAGGTTTGTAGACATGTTTATCAGAGAATTTGTTTAATAAACGCTTTCATTGCAGACTCTAACCAATTTTTATAGAAATATGCATTTTGTTATAATATTTAACTGAAACATTAGACATTGTTGTTGTTGATGTTGATGGAACTGATGATGAAAGCTGTACAAGTGATGCTGATTGTGATGCTTTCTTCATGTTAAACTTTTAATTAACTTGGAAAACTAGCTTTATCAGCATTTTTGCATTTTAATAATTCATAACATGATAATAATAAGTTTTTCCAGATATGCGTAACATGACAATACATTCCAACAACCAGGGGTCTCAAAATTTAATTAACTATTATTTTATTAATTAATAAAATAATAATAACCTTTTTTAACATTATATTTTAATATGACTTTTTTTCAAGTTTTTATCCAATAAATTCAATTTGTTCAACTTCTTGTTTTTAAACATAATAAAATAAAAGAATTACCCTTAGATTTAGAATTAAAAACTTTTTTAAATAAATCTGAATAGAAAATATTAAACCATATTTTTAAAATTTTCAAAGCTAGTTTATTATTTAAAATTTAGACAATTTTAAATAAGCTAATATGGTTTTCTCAAGTTTATGCACCAAAAACCCTTTTCCTCTCACAAAGATGTTATCAAACAAATATATTTTTACAGGTCCTACTCTCTATTGATCTGCATCTACAATATATTTCTTAACATTTTTAATTCTCATTAAAAAACATGTTGCTTAAATTAAACCTAATGTAATATCAAAATATTAACACTTTTATATAATGTACTCAACAAAAAATTTAAGTTAACTAATGAATAATATACAACATTAGGAAAAAGACTTGTTAATTAACCCAAGTCTCATTCACAAGTGATCAAAAAATTTTTTTATAAAAACAAATATTTTTGGTATGAGTTCCATTATGCTAAACTTGTATTGATTTGTTTTCTTTAAAAAAAAAATAAAGTTACCAAAACACTTTTAGCATTGAAGTATGTCAAGTATACCTTTGAAGTATGTCACTCATTGAACCATGTCTAGTATTTTGGTCAGAGTTACATAAATATAAAAACATTCTCACTCGAAAAGTATATGGTGTATTCCTTAGAAGGTTGTTACATGTAAAATACTTTAGTTCTCCACAATATTGTACCATAAAACCATAACCCTAATTTGAAAAAATTAAAAATAAAAAATTTTTAACGCCTAAATAAACAAACTAAAAATTATAACCTTAATGAAAGCATACAAGGTGTGATCAATAACCATAGCATATAACACATATAGCTAATTTAAGATATATACACACTTTAGGTAACAAATGTTAAAAAAAACAAAGGTAACAAATGTAAAAAAATGTTAAAAAGGTAAAAAATATGTAAAGAATTCTACTTACATCAGTTGGATTATTCATTTCGAGTTTGTATTCCAAAATTGGTGCTAGATTTTTAAAAATAAAAATTGGTAAATAAAATATTTATAAATAAAAATGTTTTATTAAGATTAAAAAATATTTATCATCTCAATAAACATTATTTAATATATAACTAAATTTTAGAATAAGAAATTATTCTTACAGCCATTGTCATCTGGTTCATTCCAGCTTAAACTCAACATATTAGTATGGCACTCTGTAAGTTCAGGTTGATTAGGAGTATTAGGGGGTCCCCCACAAGTTAAATATTCCAATATTGTACTATATTCACTAAAAATAACCATTGTTTACATTGATAATTTAATACTTTAAAAAAAAAAAAAAGTAATTCACTCTCAACATGCTGCAAGCAACTATTATTAGGTTGGAAGTTTCTCATCTTGTGATCTTAGTATTGATGGTTATCTTGCTTTAATTCATGGAAATTCCAATAGTAGAGTGTGTCAATTTTTATTGTAAAATGCACTTTTTTAAATGCATAAAAAAGAGTAGTGAAAAACTATAATTTTTAAATTTTTAATAGGAGTAATATTATTAAAAATGAAATTATTTCAGTGCTGGCTTGGTAATTTTTCATTTTATTATTACTTATTTTGGTTATTACCAAAATTAGTACTAAAAATGCGTAACTAAACATTTCTATCCATTTATACTTCATAAATTCGGATCAAAAAAAAAGTTCTGGTAAACTTATTTAGTTAATTAAAGATGTCAAATAGAACAAGGAATGCATTATTTATCAAAATGAGCAAACTTGTAGGCAATGGAAAATAACTTTATGTATCTGAGCTTCTAACAGCCAGAGATTTTTTACGATATGGTATACTTTTAAAAGAAATTAGTGAAAAAAATACAAGATACTATACTGCAGATCAGCTAGTAGCTGATATGGTTCCAGCTATACTTGGTCAATGGTTAAAGGCAAATGCACTTTTTGTATATCCAATTGTAATTTCAGCCGATTTCCATAAATGTTTATGGAAATCGGCTGTTGATTTTAGTAATGGAAGTGAGGAAAAAGCTGAAAAAGCAAGCTTTTCTTTAAAATTAGACAAACTTGTTGAGATTTTACTATGTAAATTAATTCTTTTTTCAGAGTATAAATGTGTTTCAGAATTTATGGAAAAAATTCATATAAAATGCAAATGTAAGAGAGATAAGAAAATTCCAATTGTAGAGCTTCAATTCATTCTCAGAGAACTAAAATAGGAAGCTTTGGAACTGTATATTGGTGGTTCAGATAGGAATATATATATATACATATATATATATATATATATATATATATATATATATATATATATATATATATATATATATATATATATATATATATATATATATATATTATATATATAGGTTCAGATAGGAATATATATATATATATACATATATATATATATATATATATATATATATATATATATATATATATATATATATATATACATATATATATGTATATATACATATATATATATATATATATATATATATATATATATATATATATATATATATATATATATATATATATATATATAATATTAAAAAAAAAAAAAATTAGATTGTCTGAACAAAAATGAATCTGTATCATTTTGTCAGTCACATGGAGGGTAGGGTAGAGAAAGAAAGTTTAAAATCCAAGTAGATAGTCCAACTAACTGCAAATCTTCCCTGAATCAAACATTGTCCATGTATAATACTATGAAAATCAAAAATATTGCTCTGGCTAGCATGAGACATCAAACAAATTTAAGAGCAGCTTAAATAGCCACAGCTACTTTGATTGATGCAAAACTTATAAGCAAGAGTGATTTTCATCTTATTATAGTTCATAACAAGATCAAAAGGGCTCAAGAAAAATTAGCAAAAGAATTAGACAATCAGTTTGAGGTACACCTAGAAAAAAACCCAGTTACACACCTTTTTTTTGATGGGAGAGTAGATGCTACAAAAATGTTTATAGAGGTGAATGAAAAAAAATTATCCGCGCAGCAGTCTTGCTTGTCAAGGTTCGTGTTTCGGAGTTAAAGAGTTGAGAGAGGGTTATACCACGACTTACAAAAAAAAAAAAAAAAAAAAAAAATGAGTAGCCTCCTCGACTGTAATGGCCCCCTCACGCCTTGGGGAGGTGAATATTAAAAAAAAAAAATGAATATTAGGTTACACCAGCGCTTACTTATAAATGCACATTTTTAAATTTCAGTATTTGAGCACTATTATTTATTAACAACGTTGTACATCATGATAATAGGTATAAAAACAATTATCAGTGCAATTTCATTAAAAAAATAAAAATAAACATTAAAATGACCAAAAGTGTAAAAATTCATATCAAAATTAACCGAGCTTGCGCTTAATGAAATTTAATTTTTAAAATTTCTCTGTTCTTAACTAATCATAAAATTACTTTTTTTCACTACACTTTTTTGATATTATAAAAAAAAATCAACACACCAATATATCAAATACTATAAAAAATCAACTACTACCAATAGTGACATGCCTGATTTAGCATTTATATTCGTAAGAACTCACCTAGTTTGTTGGGAAACTAGGTTTGAATCCACTGACTTTTGCTTTGGTTGAGCACCTCTTCACTGTATTGCCTTTCACTTTGTTCTATATCGCTCTCCTTCATCTCAAGACTGCACTCTTTTCGACATTATTTCTGATCAAATTGACCAAGTCCTCTCTCTTTATCCATCAGCCAATATTGTTGTTGTTGGTGACTTTAATGCCCATCACACTGAATGGCTTGGTTCTAGTGTCAGACTCTGTAGGCGTTAAGGCCCACAACTTTTGCCTTTCTCAATCTTTACCTCAAATAGAAATTTCCAACTTGCTGTCTAGACAACCCGAATCATTTACCTTCTCTACTCAACTTATGTTTTGTTTCTGATCCAAGACATTCACCCAATGATCAAGAAAAAGCACAAGATGCTTCTGATCCTGACTTGATCTCTCTAAAACTTTATTTCTATTATTTTCTTCATCATCAGAATTCCCCTATCATTATACCTCTTACAACTACATTAAAGCTAACTGGGACTCTTTTATGGCTTTCTATGTGATGGCCCTTGGGTAGAAATCTTTCCTCTTCCTGTTGACAAATGTGCTTCTTACATAACTTCTTGGATTCAGGCTGGTGTGGAATTTTTTATTCCCTCTCAACGATTCCAAGTCAAGCCTCAGTTTTAGTTTCCCACACTCTTGGTTTCCCTCAGATGGTGCTGCTGCAATTTCTAATCAAAACCATTACTTCCATATCTATCAGCCAATCGAAACCATTACTTCCATATCTATCAGCCAATCGAAACCATTACTTCCATATCTATCAGTAAAACAATTCTCCAGAAAACAGACGCCTGTTTACTATTGATAAAAACCATTATAAAAAGGTTTTGAATAACGCTGAAGCTCGCAATTTTTAGGCCATGAAATCTCATATTTCATCTCAAAAATTAGGCTCTCATGACTTCTGGAGAATAAACAACAGTATCAATAATAAGAGCAAATCTGTTATTCCACCTCTCATGTATGGTTCAGATTTTGTCACCTAAAGACAAAGCTAAATTGTTTCCTAAGAACTTTTCATCATTATCATCTCTGGATTCCACTAGTTGCATTCTACCTGATATAGCCAAAAAGAAGGTTGATCCATTGCTTGAGATTTCAGCTTCTGTATCTAAAGTGATTTCCTGCTTAGATTCTCCTACAGCTTGTGGTCTGAACAACATACCTGTTATAGTCTTGCAGAAGTATTTTCGAGAGTTGTCGTCTATACTTTTAAAACTATTCAACAAGAGCTTATCAAAGTCTTGTTTTCCAGCATGCTGGAACGCGGCATTTGTTATCCCTAATTTCAAAAATTCTGGAGAGTGATCTGATTCATCTAACTACTGTCCCATTAGTCTTCTTCCTATCATAAGCAAGATTTTTGAATCTTAAATTAAGGAACACTTAATTTCTCATCTTGAATCTAATAACTTTCTGATCTTCAATATGGATTTTGATCTTCTCATTCTATGGCTGATTTGTAAACAGTAATAACCGATAGGTCTTATCGTGCATTAGATAAAGGTGGAGAGGTTAAGCCATTGCTTTTGACATTTCTAAAGCTTTTGATAAAGTTTGGCATACTGGTCTTCTCCATAAGCTTTCTTCTTACGGTGTATCAGGTAACATCTTTAAGATTATTGAATCTTTCTTTACCAATCATTGTGTTAAATTTGTCCTCAATGGACAGCACTCTTCTTCATATGCTGTAACTTCAAGGGTTCCTCAAGGTTTTATCCTTGGCCCTATACTCTTTTTAATTTACATTAACAATCTTCCAGATATTCTTACATCAAAAGTGACATTTTTTGCTGATGAAACAACTATTTATTCTTGTTTTGATAAAAAGCCAACACTCTCTGATTGCTTGGGAGGGGCATTTGATCTTGAAAAGGATCTTACTTCTGCTACAGCATGGAGCTCACAGTGGCTGGTTAACTTTATTTAAGATAAAACCCAATTTTTTCAGCCAATTGTTATCGCAAAGATTTAGATGTTCCTTTATTTAAAAATGGTAATGTACTCAATGAGTCATCTACCCTTTATCTTCTAGGACTGACTCTTACTTCCAATCTTTCTTGGGAACCATATATCAAATCTATTACAAAATTAGCATCTGCTAAGATTGCATCTTTTTATTGTGCTTGACTTTTTCTTACTCCGGATTCTATTCTTTATCTCTATAAATCTCAAATCCGTCCTTGTATGGAACACTGTTGCCATATCTGGGGCAGATTTTCCAATGATGCCCTTTCACTTTTAGACAAGGTGCAAAAACACATTGTAAACATAGTTAGACCTGCTATTGCAGCCAACCTCCAACTATTATTACATCATCATAATCATGCTTCTCTTTCTCTTTTCTATAAATACTTGAATGGGCACTGCTCTAAAGAACTAGTGTCTCTTGTACCATCTATTAAAATTCATTCTTGTGATATTCATCATTCAGTTAAGTCTCATCCTTTTACTGTGACTGTTCTTAAGTGCTCTACAAACTCATCTAGTTTTTTTCCTCGAACATCAATTCTTTGGAATTTGCTTCCTTCATCCTGTTTTCCTGATTTATATAATTTGCAATCTTTTAAGTGATCTGTCAATCGTTATCTTGCTCTATAAACTTCATCATTTCTCTTCCAGTAACTTCCAACTCTAATAGTGGTTGCTTGCAGCTTTGTTGGAAGCAAAGATGTTTAAAAAAATGCATAATTTATGTTTTGAGCATAATTGACCACTAAAAGTTGTTGCGTGATTAAATAGTTTGCAAAATAAACATCTGGATGTATGTATATAAATTTCATAAACTTATAAAAAAAAATTGGTTCTTATATCCATTAGTAAAATTGAAATTTTAAAACAACTTTAAAACTAGTTGGATAAGCAAATATTTTATTGTAACGATGAACCTAAGAAAAAATAATCAAGATTGGTTAATTGGTTACCAATCCAATAAATTATCAAGTTTTAGTCATCTGCCAACAAAAAAACATGTTTTGGGTAGACTCTCATTTGCATTTTTATTCAAAAGGTGACACTTCTGCAAGAGATATTTTTAAACCTGTTCTAGATGAGCTTAAGGAAGTTTGGGAAAAAGTTGGAGTACCAATTTGATCAGATAACTCTTGTCTTTCATTGCTTACCAAATTGTTTGTGGAAAAGGTGAAAATAAAAAAAATTGATCACGCAAGTCGAGATGTCTAAACTGGAAAAGAAAAAATTGTCAGATTTTGTAATAGACCTGAGCAACTTTGCGACATTTCAACAGTAAATGCATATGAACAGTTATTATTATCACGTAGACCAAAATGGAAAGAGGATTGGGCATTTTATGAAGATCAAAAGAGTAGCAGAAAATCACACGACAGGAAGCATTGATCTAGGTGTTTCAAAATTTTTAGAATGTTGAGAAGATAGACTAAGCATAGATTTTCGGAGAAGTTCAACCGAAGATCAAAAATCAAGTGCTTTTGAAGTCAGTGAATTAGTTGAAGTCAGTGAATTAGTTGAAAGTGCTGATGAGGAAGATTAAAAAGATACAGAGTTTACTCCTTTACCACTAAAGAAAAGAAAGATGCCTTTAACAAATTCACTAGAGATATCAGCAAAGAAGCTTTTAGAAGTAACAACATCTGTGGCAGATCGATGTTGTTTATCAGTTCGCCAACAACTTCTATTTCAATCCACTATCATCTGCAAAAGCAGAGGCAAACTTGATGAAATTTCTATGTCAGTATCAACTGTACATCTTCAAAGATAGCATGTCGCCATCATCATAATAAGCCACACATCAAACATGCATTTACCACATTACGAGGAGGTAGCAAAAGTCCAGATGAACCTATTTTTAAACGTTTCCAAGCCTAATTTTCTAGAATTGATATTGATTACTCAAACTTTAATTTTTTTGAATGGCCTACTGATATTAAATCAGAAATATTTAATCAAGCAAGTTTAGTTCTGAAATGGGCTTACCAATATCTTTAAGAAAAAATATTTCCGTGAGAAGATTATCTTGAGTTAATTGAATTAACTATTATCTACCTTGGGGGAAAACTATTAATGGACAGAATATTCAAAATTCACAAACCAGGTGCAATTCACAATGCGAGATTTATGTCACATTCTGTATATATTTTAAAAATGGAACTCTTATCTGATAAATTTATTATGTCCAATAATGAGCAAATTATGATCCACCGCATGGCTAAGTTTATTAGCCTTTTTTATTTGATACAATTTCTCTGCTCAAGGATTTCTGAATTTGCTCCAGTTGATGACTTCAAATTTTTTGTTGCAATGAACTGGTATCAAGAAGAAGATTCAGATATCGCAACCGCTGTGACTTCGTCAACTAACCGTCACCTTTGGTATTTAAAAGCTTGTTATTTTATCTTTATTTAATGAAAAATTGTCAGAATTTACCAGAACAATAATGGCAAAGAAACTTTTTTCTACACCTAGACCAAAAACATTTTTAATTGGGAAACTAAAATTTCTGACATTAAATTCTTCAACCTTTATTTATTTTTTAATTGGACCACGGTCAGGGCTTCTTTATGATTTATTAGGACTAATAAACAACCAGGAATGGCTCCAGATGAATCCACAAGAGTGAAAAATCTTTCTACGATTATCGAACTGCAGAAATTTTTGTTAAATAATTAGAGTTAACAAATGATTGCGCCAAAAGAGGAATCAAACTTATTGGTGATTTCCGTGAGTGTGCGCAAAATGAAAAACAACAACAATTTATTTTGCAAGTTGTTGAACAACACAGAAAGCAAAATCCATCATATTCGAAATCAAAACTTGTTAATACTTTATAGCATTTTTTATATTACTACTATCTTCTTAATTAATTATTATTCTTAGAAAAGCTGAAGCCTAAAAATAGCCTAATTGAATTTTTTTTTTAAAGATTTAAAAAAAAAAATTTTTTTAGCTTTATATTTTAATACGGCGACCTCTAGACATTGACCAATTTTTCTGAAGATTTCACCAAATGTTCATCTAATAACCTTTGATATATACACCCAGTAACGTAACATAAAATTAAGTATTTTTTAAGTTATTCAAGTTTAAAGTCGAAAAAAGTGTAAAAAACGCTATTTTTTCAAGATGGTGACCTCTAGAGGACATTTTAAAATTTTGAAAATTTTTAGGCCTTTTTTTTAGCACATTATTTACCCCATTATGCATATAACATAACCATCTTCAAAAAATTGTCGGAAATGAAACACCCTAATGTCACACTCTAGGAGAAGTAGAAGTTAGTTGTTTTGTGATGACTAGTACAGGACATGTTATTTAAGTTATGATCAGGGGGGCAAGGGGAAGGTTGTCAAAAATGTTTGGAAATCATATGATGTAATATATGCAGGTTTGGCCAGGAAGGCATGCGATTTCAAGTCTTTATATGTCCACACAAATATATATATTTTTGACGATTTTAACAAATGCCCTGACAAAATTGGTTTTTAATTACGTTGAAAATAAATAACTTCGATATGTTTATTATTGCTAACGTTTTTATATTAGCAAAACACTTTTAAATAAAGTAGCTAATGATTTTATTTAAAGTATCATTGGAAGTTTTATAAATTTTTATTTATATTATTTAATCATAAAATTTTTTTTTTAAAAGAAAAAAAAATTAAAAAATAATTTAAAAAAATTTTAATTTCACAAGCGACTTTAAACAGTGATGGTCTCTTAAGAAACTTTATATATGAATCATTAAAGTTAATTTACTCGAAATAATAATTTTATTGAGAAAAAATAAAGACAAACTTTTTTGTAAGCAACTTGTTTTAAATAACTTTGATCTTTACAAATATTTTTATATTATTAAAATACATTTAAATAAAGTAACAAACCACTTCTAACGATTTTTTATTAAAATATTAATGAATAACATGAATATTTTTTTAATATTTATATAAGTATGTATTTTTTATTATAAATGTCTTTAAATAAAAAATAATTTATATCAACTTTTTAAATAAACGATTTAATAGTTTTTTCTTTTGTTTATGTTATGAATTGTTAAGAATCTTTTTTTTAACTTTAAATGTGTGCATTTATTAGATGTAAGTTCTTACTTTATTTAACAAAGGGTTTAATTAAAAAAAAAAATTAAAAAAGGGTTTAACATAATATTGTATTATAAAAACATTAGTAAAGATAAACGATTCAAAGTTATTTATTATAAATGTAATTTAGATAATCTTATCGTTGTAGTTTATTATTTATTTTAGTTAAGTTTTAATTTTAGTTTTTTATTTTAGTTTTAGTTAATTTATTTCTATTTTATTTTATTACTTTTTTTTATGAGGAATTATTTGCTTCTTTTACAATAAGTTTTTTTTAAGTTTCTTTATAGATAAGTTAAGATTTTTCAGAGCGTTTTTAAAATATATACAAATTTTCAAAACATATTAAGAGCCATGGTCAAGTTTTCAAAATTAAATATTATTTCAAGAGTTGCTATGGCAACTTTAGTGTTGCTATAGAGCAATTCAATAAATTTAAAACCATAAAAAATGAAATGTTACCCTTCTCCAAGTTCATTAGCAGCCTGTAGTTGAAATTGACATAAAGTAAGCGGAGGTAATTTATGATTAAGTTTGTAATGTTTTTGCATTCCGACATACAAATCCTTAAATTCTTCATTTGTATCCTGTAAAATAAATATTAATTAAATGTTTAAAATGTATTACCTAAAAGAAGTTATACCAAACAGGTTTTCCAAATAAATTTGAATTTAGCTATTTATATACTTTAGCTAGCAAAACTCAGCTGAAAACCCAGAAGTCTTTTGATTGACCAAAAACATTCAACAAAAAAGTAAATGTCACTATTTAATATGAGTGGTGTGACTAGGGTAAAACGATTGAAAAATATTTATTTTAAATTCTCTTGAGTTGCAAATTGTTATAAACTATTATGAACAAAACAAAACAAATTTTTTTTTGATGTAGCTTTCTCAAGGTTAATGATTTATGTCTTACTTAATGATTTACAGCATTTAGAGTGTAGCATCATTGTGTTATATAAACAATGAACATTCAATAAAAATTTCAAAAGATCAATAGATTCTTATTCAAATAATTGTATGAGTCAATCTTGGTATTAAAAGAAGCAGAATTAACAAAATGATAAACAGAATTAATAGAATGAAAAACAGTAATAATAAGATGATTAATCCTAAATGCAAAATAAAACAACTTTTGTAAAGCATTATGTTATGGCAATGGGCAGTTAATTAGTACCAATGACAATGGTATCATGACCAAGATAAATCATTTAATGTACTAAAAACAAAGTGACCCAAGTGTGGAGCCCTGTTGAACACCATATTTTATAACTTTACGTGTGGATTTAAACACATAAACTGAAACTCCATTTGATTCCTAATAGACAAAAAAAACCAACTGTGTGCAACAGTTGTTATTCATAGTAATTAAACTTTTTATTTAGTTTTATCATTAAAGTATTGTGATCAATTTTATGACAATCTATTAGCACACCACATGCAAAGGAATAATTGTACTATAAATCATTTCAGCTATGCATTGGAAGATGAATGTTTTTGATAATAATGTTTAAAATAAATACATTTTGTGTAAATTAACAAATAATGTTATAGTTAAATTTCTTTTGCAGGTATGTATTATTTATGATAAATTTAAACATTTGAAACTATTTTTGCATGTCTTTCTAAAAATCTTTTGAAAGATATAATTTTTTAAGTTTACTTTAAATTATTAATAAGTTAAACTATATCTTCTGTTGCAATAATTTAATTTTTTCATTTCTATTTTTACAAAGAATTGTCTAAAAGTTTTTCTTTTAACTTGACTAATCAGAGCATGAAAATATTAAAAATTACTATTTTAAATAGACCAAGGTATTTAAAAAAATATTTTTTTTTTTTTTTGCAACTTTTAGAAAAAAATTGTTTATAAAATTTAAAAATAATATAACACTTTTTAATAACTTAAATAAAATTTTTCATTCATTAATTAATCATTAGAAGTATTTGGTGAAAGCATTCAGCGAAAGCATTCAGTGAAACTTTAATAAAATATTTCAAAAAAAATTTTTAACACTATTAAAAATGTAACAAAAAGCATTTTTTGCTTCAAGTTTAAGTTTTTTGTATTTTATTTTAGTAATTATATATTTTACTTTTCATAAAGAACTGTTTTCTTTTTTAATTATTATTATTTTCTGCCTAGTTTAAGTTTAGTAAGCTTTTCTTTTTTCAGCCCATTTCTAAAATGCATAAAAATCATCTAAACAGTCACGGTCAAGTTGTCAAAAAACAAAATCATTTTTGTGGTCAGCAATAGCGTTTGATCGCAAGTCATTCCTGTCCAAGCCTCATGTATCATTTATTAAAAAATATTTTTTGTTGCGCTTTCACTTGCCTTAAGACAAAAAGTTAAAAGTACACTTATGAATAATTTTGATGCAGTTTTATAAGTTATAACATGTTTACAAGAAATTTAATTTTTTGTGAAAAAAGAAGAAAAGGAGGAAGAAAGACCAAGAAAAAAATAACTTTTTTATAATTTAAATTATTTAAATTAAAAAAAATTGGGAAATTTCTGTTTTTACTTTTTTGATACCGCACAATCTGTTATTCAAAGCTGATGTAACTATTATAAAATATTATTTTTCTAAACAATTATTTTTTGCAAAATAAAACTTATAAACATAAATGAAGACATTGCAAGAGCCAACCCTCGGAATTAGGAAAATTGAGGTCTACAATAATTTGCTGACTGCAACCTTTTAGAGGTCGGCAAAAAAAATTGATAGAAAAGGTCTTACAATAAAACATAGAAACGAGGTCAGCAATTTTTTGCTAACCTCAAACACTTTTTGTCAGCAGTTACATTAACATTGCCGAAAACCGACTGTAAATCTGAGGGTTACAAGAGCTCTATTGCTTAACATTAAATAATTTTATAAAGTAAACTTGACCTTTTGTCAAAGTAAATTCGAAAGTTTAGACTTTTGAGATAAAAAAAAGTTGAATGATTTAAAATTGAATGACTAGTTTTAAGTAAGTATAAATAAACAATTAAAAAGGTTATGTTATTCTATGTTTTCTTAAATAGTTCATATTTAATATAAAATTTAATATGAACTATTTTTTAGCTAATTAGTTTTTGTTTTGTTTTCAATTTTTTTTAAATTGGGTAAATATTTTTGTTATTGTTTAAGAAATTAGATAAATATTTTTCCTCTTGCAAGATAATAACAAATTTTTTATTATGTTTATTTTATGATTTTTTTTTTTTTCGGGCCTATAACATTTTTTTTTTTTCTTTTACTGAACATTTTTGATGGAAAAGTTAGGTTAATAAAAATAAAATTTTCTTTGTTTTTTCTTAAGTTATTACATTTGTAAATAGTGTGAATATTAAATGTAATTATCATAAAAACTTTTTTACATAATCATCATTCAAACTTCATAAGTTTTCAATGACTTACCACTTACATTAAATGGCTTAGTGTGTACCTAAATGGCACACCAATTTACCCTTTAAAACAATGCCTGATACATACATACTATAAGTTATCATACTTTATTAGTACTAGTAAAACAATTTGTTGAACTTACCTTTCTCCATTGAATTCTATAAAATGTAATTGGAGATCCACCATCATATGGTGCCTATTGCAAAAATAAAAACAAAAATTTCACTTAACATTTTACTCCTGATTGAACTAACTATAAAAAAAGATTTTCTTATATAATATAAATGTTTTTATTTTCATAAGTTGAACCACACCATTTGTGTTGCATGAAATGCATATGATTTGATTGATTAGTGAAGGAATTATATGACTGATTGATGACAGGACTAATATCAGATCAGATTTGATGCTGCAACTCAAAATTAATTTTAAAAAAGCCAAATAAAAATAAAATCTAAATAAGATTTTTATTTAGATATTTAAACAAGAAATAATATCAGATAATATCACTAGTGATAGCAATATTAACCAGCAAAAAGGATTTTCACCATTATAACCCTACATGTTAGCAGTTCAATAGGTTGTACTCTTCTCATTAATAAAAGCCATCATTCTAAACTATTGCATAATAGTGATAGGTTAAACATAAAAAAATAGTAAAATGCAAATGTGTCATAAAATGTAATAAATAGCATTTATTAAACTTTTATTATACAAACACAAAAAACATTTATTATAACATACAAAAACATAAAATGTACTTACAGTCCATTTCAAAGTAAGAGAATTTTTTGACTTTTGAGTAATTCTTGGTGGAAAAGGTTTATCAGGCACTGAACAAAATGTAGTACACGCAACAGGATCGCAATAAGAACCTTGTGTATCGTTTGAAACAGCACAAAGTCTACAAGATAAATTTATTTTGATAATATAACTATTGTACAACATTTATTATTAGTTTGTATTTTTGTTATTTGTTCTTGTATGTGTACTTTTATTATAATTTTACTCAAGCAAAAACTAATAAATAAAAGACATCACTTTAGTAACTATAGCAACCAAAGTAATTATTGCAGTTTTATTGCTATAAAAGGCACTTAACTGTAAACACAAGATTCATGTCCTCTTTTCTCAACAACATTTCATTATTTTATATGTTAGTTTATGCACATGCAGAGTTTTGTCTGTTTTTAATCTTACTTTCTGCTAATTGTATCCTGTTACAAATCAAAGACTCAAAGAAGACTAATCAGATAATAGTTGGAAAGATCAAAATGTTCTTCAGAGTTTTTAAAAATTGGAAATACAGATGCCATTTTCAGTCCAAGATTCAGTCAAGCACCTATTAAAAAGTTTAGAGAGAATTGAAGAAAGTTCTGGAGAATACTTTTCTAAGACTATGACAGAAGTATTGTCTGGAATACAAGCCATAGAAGTATTTTATTGAGATATGACTTTAGCAACAGAAGCTGGAGTAATTATAACGTGGAATAATGGGTTAACCTGTTTAACTGGAATAGAAAAAAGAGTATGGCTATAAAAATCAAGAGTTGAATTAGAAGAAAAATAAATTGTAAATTAATAGTAAATTCGGGTGTCAAGGATGACTTTAAAAAAGTGGTTAAAAAGAAATGATTTAATAATCTCAAAAAGTTTTCTAGATATGCCGTATGAAGCATGCCAAACTTTATCAAAAGCTTTAGAAATGTTAAGAGCAATAGTTCTTGCCTCACCATCTCCATCTAATGCACAATAGAATCTTTCAGTCACAGCAAGTCAGCTGTAAAATCAAAAACCATATTGATTGTCAAAGAGTATTTAGATTCAAGATATTAATCAGTTAATTAAAGACTTAAAGACCTTGCTAATAATAGAGAGAAAATTGATCATTTGAGGATCATCATATGAAGCAAGGTTATGGATTGATTATGGTTAAGAATGAGCAATGAATGAACTGATATTATTCAGCAAGGTTATGGATTGATTATGATTAAGATTGATTAAGAATGAGCACTGATCTGACAATAGTTGGAGGGATCAGAGTATTTTCTAGAGTTTTAAACATTTGAACCACAGATGCCTTTTTCCAGCAGGCGCAAAAATAAGATTTAGTCAAGCACTTATGAATAGTTAAGAGAGAAGTTCTAAAGAACACTTTTGTAAGACTAGGACAGAAATGCTGACCACAAATGTTTGGACCACAAGCCATACGAGTTTAATTGAAATTTTAGCAACGGAAGTTGGAGTGACATGAATACTAATAACAATAAGTTAACCTGTTTAACTGGAATGGAAGGAAGAGTATGGCCATAAGATTCAAGAGTCAAATTAGAAGAAAAGCTTTTTGCAAATTGTTCTGCTTTATCCTTGAGAGACGTAAAAAGATCAGTCACATGAATTCCCATGGGGAATCATGGAGTTTAGCATCAGACAGTACCTTTTTACATTGGTTTTTTGCAATAATAAATTTGTTTTCATTTGTTTTCAAGTTCTCTCGAAAAATATGAAAAAAATGACTATGATTAGATATAGCAGCTGCAGGATGAAAACCATGGAGGTTTGGAACCAATACAAAAGAATAAAAGCTTCCATTCCTGCCTGGATCTAGAAAGTTGCATAAGAGGCGCGTTTACCTGTTGAGAGAAAAAAGATATCAGCCCAAGGACCGCCACAAAGATGTGTGTATATATATATATATATATATATATATATATATATATATATATATATATATCATATACATACATACATATATATATATATATATATATATATATATATATATATATATATATATATATATATATATATATATATATATATATATATATATATATATATATATATATACTGAGAGTTTAGATTTGAACAGGTATCATCTAGATATGAAGGACTTTTATTACAGCAAAAAAAATAGATATGGATAGATCTGCATCAGTACTAGCAATGACATATTCCCATGTGAACATAAAGTAAGCACAACATTGTGGTGTATGGTCATGAGGTATATTTGTTTTGAGTGAAAAAATCATCATCAGGGTACTTTTTGGCTTTTACTCAATCAAATTAAAAAATGCTGTTCATCACCATTTTTTTGATGAACACCATTTTTTACCATCACATTAATTTAAAAAAGGTAACACAAAAATTGACACAAATTGTTAATTCCTATTTGTTTAATTGCTATTTACCAAAATTTACCTGAAAGTATAAAGTGTTCCAGGATTGAGTTCGTGAGCTGTGAAACACTTCTCAGGGCCGCTAAAAGTTGCAAAAGAATTAGTAAATAAAAAAGAACAAATATAATATTTAGCTTCAACATTTTAAGATCAAAGTAGTAAAAAACAATAACAAACACACTTGTAAATAGATTTGTAAATATTTCCTTTTGTTGATATTTGTAAATCAAATTCACATGAGAGCAATGCATTTGATTTTAAGCACCACTTTAAAATTATTGCGTATGGACTTACAGCTTCTGCCTAAATTTAAAAAGTAACTAAAGTTAAGGTCCAAATAAATTCATGTATACATTTTTCATTACAATATTTGATCGAGATAAATATATAACACATTTATTTGTAACTCTCTGATCGAGGGGAAAAAAAACTAGTCAGGCCGAAAAACGACTTTTTTTTTGGAATCACGCTCGTTGTGGGTCCAAAAAAAAATTGTTGTGGGTCCAAAAAAAAATTGTTGTGGGTCCAAAAAAAAATTGTTGTGGGTCCAAAAAAATGTCTTTTAAATTTATAGTAATTAAATTAGATTTAATATTTTATTGAATAACTGAACTAATGTAACAGATGAATTTATTTTGATAAACACCTTCAAAAAGTATCAGCTTTGTTTAGTAGCACATTTTTTTATATACTGCAAGGATGTCCAAAAAAAAAAGAATTTTTTTTTAGTTGGCATTTTATACTTAAAAATAGCAATAGGAATATCTCTGTTTTTTATTTTAATTGAAATCCCTAAGGCCAAGAAGGCCACTACAGACAAGGAGGCTACTTAATAGTCGTTATAACCTTTGTTGGGAAAGGTTTTTTTTTTTTACGACATGTAAACATTTATTTATTTCCATTTATATATTCCTTTCTTTTTTAACTTTTGTTATATAAAAAGTACAAGCATTTTTTCAAGCATCATCAAAATATTTTTATCAAAAACTTACCTCCAAAGAAACATGCAATGAAGTGTCATCAATCGATATATCTTAAATAAACAAACAAAACTTAAATTAGAGTTTACCAAAAAACAATTTAAATTCAATAATTTGCATGAGAGAAAAAATTTTAATAAAATGAAATAAATTGTTTTATCACAATTAGTATTAAAAAGAAATTTAATAGACATTTTCTTTGAATAATTTGAGCCATTTCAACTAATCTCAACCGGGGATGTGAGACCTTGCATCACATCCCTGGTTGAAATATAACATAGGAAGATAAACAGCCTATTTCTATTTAAAACATTAGGATTTTTAGATTAAAATATTAATTCCAATATACTATATTGGAATATAGTATATTGGAATTATAGTATATAGTATATTGGAATATATATATATATATATATATATATATATATATATATATATATATATATATAAATATATATATATATATATATATATATATATATATATATATATTTATATATATATATATATATATATATATATATATATATATATATATATATATATATGTATATATATATATATATATATATATATATATATATATATATATATATATATATATATATATATATATATATATATATAATTATATGTAAAACCCTCAAAATTAGGAAAACTGAGGTTAGCAATAAATCTCTATAACAATTTGAGGTCAGGTCGGCAAAAAAATTTGACACAAAGGGATCACCATAAAACATAGAAACAAGGTCAGCGATAGTTAGGTTGACATTGCCAAATGCTGACCCTAATTAATATATATATATATATATATATATATATATATATATATATATATATATATATATATATATACATATATATATATATATATATATATATATATATATATATATATATATATATCCTTTAGGCATGAACAGGAACCAGTTTATTCCAAATCCCCAGTTTCAAATAACCAGGTAAAAATATTGAGTCTGAATATATTTTCTATTTTTACACCAAGTATATTTAGTGTTTTAGTGTTTTAGTGTTTTTCAAAAATATTGAGACATAAAACCTCCATTGTGTTGATACTTTGGTGCTGAATAGCACTGATTAATTTTGTCTAATTTATCAAAACTTTTCTTTTTTTAAATATAATATCTATAGTTCCACATGGTCCATACTATAAAATTAAATTCTTACGTAAAGTTCAGGTCATTTAATCAGTAAATTGCAAAGTGCAAAAAAATACACTGCAAATATTTTTGCAAACCAAAATATTATATTACAAGCATCATAAATATTATGTTAATTTAAAATTAAAAAATTTATAAAGTTATTTATTTTGTATATTATTAAGCTCAAATAAATCGATTGACAATAGGGATAGAGAGAACTAAAAGTATATACCTCAACTGAGGGATATGGTTGGGGACAGGGTTTAGCAGTGATGTAATCGATAATGTAGTCAATGATGCAATAGTTTTTTAGATGTTTTTAAGACTGTAATTAAAGATTATAACTATACCATCAATTATTGATTACCATTAAGAATATGATTCACCAAAAATTTTTATATTTTCACATAACAATGTTTAAAACATTAATGTTTTCATCTTCATGTTAATTTTACAATTTATATCTTGGATGTCAATATCCATAATACTTTAATAAAACAAAAAGTCTTTAATAATACTTTATCAAAACAGATTTTTTTAGCTGGATCATCATCATAATCCATAATTGTTGGGTCATCGTCATAATCCATAATTGTTACTTGATATAGCATTATTTAATGAAACTTTTAAAGTAAAAACAAATGGTATAACTTGCACACAAGTTTCTTTCTGTCTGACATTTTTTTTGTTAAGTTTTTATATGGTACTAGAATAAGTACAACTTTTTTGACAACTCCCCATTTTCAATTAACTTGTTAATAATTAACAATTAAATAAACTAAATTATAAAATCATACTTAATGTAAAATAATCTTTACATATATTTAACATATAAATAATATTTAACATATAAATACTTTTTACAGATTCAGTTAGACACTTAGATGCTATATAACTAACTTTTATGAATTTAAATCAGTGCCTAGTATATTTTGCAAACTTTAAGTTTAAAATGGTGAAAAAAATAAAAAAAACAATTTTTTTTAACAATAATAAAGGTTTTTTTTTTTTTTTTTAATTTTAATTCACCTCCTCAAGGCCAAGAAGGCCACTACAGGCGAGGAGGCTACTTATTTGTGGTTATAACCCTCTCTCAACTCTATAACTCCGAAACACGAACCTTGACAAGCAAGGCCGCTGCGCGGAGAAACGAGTTGAGCGCGGTACTACCAGGGACGTGGTCGGGATCGAACTCGGAACCACTCGTCTATGAAGCGAGCGCTCTACCACTACATCACTACCGCATAGTTTCTCATATCTAATTAATATCAGCCCAAACCTTGAGTTTATGTATGTATTTAGCCCTCAGCAGATGACAATTTCAGTATGATATTAAGAAAAAAGTTTTTAATTAATTTTGAAAAATCTATTTTTTACAATATATGGCTGCAACTTAATCATGTGTTAGAAAAAAATTCTAAAGCAGCTTTTTAAACAAAGTTTAAAAACTCCCAGTTTTCTATGTTACATTTGATAAAGAATTTGAAAACAAGAATTTGAAAACAGAAAAAAAAGCAAAAAATGCAGTTGGTGGTCTGTCAAGGATATATGCCTATCAAGTGGAAGGAAAATACAAAATTAAATAATGTAGCTACAGTTTTTTTCTGTTTTAACCACATTTAAGATAGTTAAAACAGAAAAAAAAATCATAAGGTTATGGAAGTAATTTTATTTTATCTTTTGAGTTTTTACAGCTTAATTAGCCAAATACTTTTTAGGAGTATCTTAAATTAGTTTGCCTTCTGATTCCAGGTTTCAAAGAATGAATTTGGAGGGAAACACATAGGCACACTATAACATGGTTTGTGATTAAGTTGAAAATAATTATCATTCAATCGAACTAGGATTGATTGATGAACTAAAAAATCATTCATCAAAATAATGCGACTGAAGAAAACGTTTATACCAACTTTCATGAGTGTTAAGTGTGTCCACAATTTTTACTAATAACAAAACAAACAAAAAAAACAAAAAACAAAAAAATTTGTTTGACTCTGATGACAAAACATTAAAGATCGAAAAAACTCTAAAAATAAAGCATAATCTAATTGCCACAAAAGGCTTTCTTCAAGCAAATTTATTATTACATATGCTCTATTTATTATATGTGGTCAATGTGACCACATAATAAAGCATAATCTAGTTGCCACAAAAGACTTCCTTCACACAAACTAAAATAATCTTTAAAAGAATTTCTTATTGCAACTGCATCAAAAACAAATCTATTACTTTTTGATTTTGAGATATTAAGTCAACGCACTTGATCATATATTTTTTTACTCAAATGTTGAACAAAACTTTTTAAATAATATTTACTGTTGAATAAATATAATGCATAACAAATTGAATTAAATGTAATTAATAATTCTTTATTAAATAATGTTAAAAAATTTTGAACAACTGAAAACTTATAATTACAATGAGCTGGTTGCTAATGTTTCTTTCTATACAATACAAAAATACAATATAAAATTTTTTTGTTGTTGTTCCTAGGCCCTAATCAATTTTTTACATTCTTATTATGATATAAGCATATACAAACTTATGTTTGGAGTGTGTCTAAAAATATCATATCTGAAACATCAAAAAATCTTTCCCCTGGGCCTGCTACATTATACTAGTTGTTAATGTGGTTTCCATACCTGAACAAATATATATATATATATATATATATAATAACAAAAATAGGTTTGAAAACTATCAAAAATCTATGTATTATCTTCTTTATTAACAAGTATAATCCATTCACTTTAAAAAATTATTCTAGATTAAAGAGAGCAGTCAAATTTTAACTTTTTTTAAGGTTATTCAAGGACATTTTTTTTTTTTTTTAATTATTCACCTCCTCAAGGCCCGAGGGGGCCACTACAGTCAAGGAGGCTACTCCTCGACTGTAGTGGCCCCCTATTTTTTTTTTTTTTTTTATTATTATTTTTTTTTTGTTGTAAATTGTGGTACAACCCTCTCTCAACTCTTTAACTCCGAAACACGAACCTTGACAAGCAAGGTCGCTGCGCTGAGAAATTAAGTTGAGCGCGGTACTTCCAGGGACATGGTGGGAGTCGAACTCCGAACCCCTCGCTTACAAAGCGAGCACTCTTACCACTACACCACTACCGCATAATTTAAGGAGGTTTTTATTTTTTAAGGATATTTAAGGTTTTTAAGGAGGTGGGAACCCTGCATATAAAACAAAATGTAACATATAAAACAAAATGTAACATAATACTAAATAAATTAAAATAAATATTCATAATAATAAATAATTTTTTTTTAATGATTTTTTATGCTTGATTTGTTTATATCGTATAAAGACTTTTGACAAATTTTCCCTGTGGTTGCTAAATATCTCAATTATAAAGGCTAGCTCAAAAAAATTAAGTTTTCCATTTTTTAAATTTTTTAATATCATTCATTGTATGTACTGAAGCTCCTAGAAACTCTGAATTTCAGTGCTGATGTCAACCTATGCTTTTATATGCATGTATGTACATATACATATAATCAATATATACATAGGTGGAACAAAAGTTTTACTATATTTTGTTGACAAAAAAATAAATAAATGAATAAAAAGATTGGAATTTATTATCTTTTTTAAATAAAAAGTATGACTGCCCAAGCCAAATCCTCATTCAATGTAATACTCCTCACATGTTCTACCTATTTGTCAGTCAATGTATCAGCACTTCTTACATGTTCTATCTATATTTCAATCGATGTAGCAACACTTCTTCCATGTTCTACCTATTCATCAGTAGATGTAGCAGCACTCATTACATATTTTACCTATTTTTCAGTAGATGTAGCAGCACTCCTCGTGTGTTTTACCTAATTGTCAGTCAATGTAGCAGCACTCCTCGCATGTTCTACTTATTTTTCAGATGATGTATGTAAACTAAAATTTAAAAAAAAAAAAAGTCAAAAGTAATTAAAAGTAACATATGTTGTTGTCAAAAGAATTATTTTTTATCTTCGGTACTCTCAAAGCCAACAATTTATGTGTGTAAATATATATATATATATATATATATATATTTAAATTCATTCCCAACACGGCTGCAAGCAACTGCTATTAAGTTGCGAGTTACTAGAATATAAAGAATAGAGAATAAAGACCAAGAAAATGCTTGATAAAAAGACTTGAAAAGTCTTTGTCAAGAGTCAGGAAAACATGATTATGAAATAAAGTTCAAAAGGGTTTAAAAGTAAGATGAAAAATTAGATGTATAAAAATTTTTATAGAGCAGGCAGGATTGAATATTTTAGACAGATAATTATAAAGGATGTGACTTTTCTGAATGACAATTCAAGCAAGAATAACTTTTTGTTGATAGAACTTGATGATAGTATTTGTATTGTTAAGTATTTGTAGAAAAAGAACACCGATGAAAATTAAAGACAATGGGTTAGCCTCAAGGTTGGCAGACAAAGCAGGTCCAACTATGTTTACAAAGCACTTTTGGAATTGTATAAAAGAGAAAGTGCATCCTTAGAAAAACCAGCCCAAATATGACAACAGTATTACCAACCCTCGGAATTAAGGTTTGAATCTGAAAGTGTTTGAGGTCAGCAAAAAATTGCCGACATTGTTCGGCAATTTTTTGTCAGAATTATTGTCAGAAGTGAAGGATCAAAAGAATCCAATAAGACATAAAAATAGAGGACTCAGATTAGAGCAATAGTGTTCTCATTCATTAACATAAGAATGTCAACTGTGTTGCAATAGTTGTTTGCCATAAATAACTGAGTTTTGTTAGAGTTAAAACTCATAAGCGAATGCAATCTCCAACCTAATACAGAAGTGAAATCAGATTGAAGATTTACAGCGATTGAAAAGATAAGTCTTTTTGTTTAGACAGGAGTATATAGTTGAGTCACCACCAAATAGATCCACTTTAGATGTAAGGTTGTCAGGAAGATCATTGATGTAGATAAGAAACAAAAAAGGAACAAAGATAAACTTGGAGGAAAACTCTCAGAAGTTACTAGAAATGAAGCAGGGTGTTGGCCTTCAAGGATTACTTTTAAAAAGCAGTTAGAAAGAAATGATTTCATAATCTCAAAATTTTTTCAGATACATTATATGAAGGTTATGGATTGTCATCATTGAGGATCATCATATGAAGCAAGGTTATGGATTGATTATGATTAAGAATGAGCACTGATCTGACAGCAGTTGGAGGGATCAGAGTGTTTTCTAGAGTTTTAAACATTTGAACCACAGATGCCATTTTCCAGCAGGAGCAAAAATAAGATTCAGTCAAGCATTTTTTAAATAGTTAATAGGGAATCAAAGAGAGTTCTGAAAAACACTTTTGTAACACTAGGACAGGAATGCTGTCTGGACCACAAGCCACAGAAGAATTTAATTGAAATTTTAGCAACAAAATTCGAAGTGATTTGAATATCAATAACAATGAGTTAACCTGTTCAACTGGAATGATAGGAAGAGTATGGCCATAAGTATCAAGAGTCAAATTAGAGGAAAAGGGGTACAGTTTGCTAAATCATTGGTTTCAGCAAATTATTCTTTGGTAATTAAAAATACTAAAGCTTGGTTTCCAATAATTGTAGAAATAATGTAAAGTGGTTGTGCAATCTTGTTTTACAGGAATGTTTGCAGGAATTAATTTGTTTCTATTTCCACAACAAATGTTTTATAACAAAATTCATTATATAACTTACGTTAAGTTGCATAAGTTACACTAGATCCATTGTAAAACAAATTTATTGTACAACATTTCTACAACTATTAAAAACACCAAGCTTAAGCAACTGCTATATTAATTATTAAATTTAAATAACACTTTTGGCTTGATAGTTTAAAGAGATTAAATGCAATATTATTATTTAGTGTATAAAATAAAGGTGGTCAACAACCAAAGAACATTCGAAATGTAAAAAAAAAATGCTAATTTGACCTCGAAAAATGAATTCTTGTCGATCCCGGTTGACAAGTTAAAAAAAAAATTATTATGAAAAATAAGGTTTTGTGAAATATAATGCAGTTGATATATTGAAAAATATATTGAAGCAGTGATGGTTTTTTATGTAAAATATTTTTGGTTACTATAAACATATATATATATATATATATATATATATATATATATATATATATATATATATATATATATATATATATATATATATATATATATATATATATATATATATATATATATGATTTCAGAAATTCCAGGATTTCTTAATTGTTTAAACATAACACTTTTTGATTGTACAATTTTGAAGTGCTCAAAAATAGTTTTAATTAAAATACATGTTTCTTTTAAATTTTTATACTGCTGATAATTTTTATAAATAGGAATTTGAATAAATAGGATTTATTTGAGATAAAACTTAGAGATAACAGATGAATCTTATAAATTTAATAAGAGTAAAATTTAAAGATAATATGGGTAGGACAAATAAAAATTTTTCTAACTTTGTTAATAAAATGTTAAAATTTATCAAAAAATTTAAAAAATTACTATTTCCAACAGGATCTACGACACAGTTTTTATCGCTTAACTTCTTATGATAGGTATGTTTTACACATGTACAATCGTTTATATTTGCTTGTTTGTCACTAATTTTTTTTTGTAGTTTTTCTCTTCTTTTATCTATGTCTTGAACCACAGGCTGTGTTTGAAAACTTCTAGGTGACCCATGCACTGAACAAAAAGGATTATATTGTTGGCTTGGTATGATAATACTAGGAAAATTTTGTCTGCTATGTGAACTAATATTGTTTGGAAAAACTTGATGATAAGAGTGTTGATTAGATATAGGATAGTTGTTTCCACCATATGGGTATCCATGTTCATGAGGAAAAGGAACACGAAAAAATACACCAGGTTGTATTTCAATATGAGATCCATGATCTGCTATATATGAAGATATTATCTGTCCAGTGGGAGGATTAATTAAATGTATATAATTTGTTTGACCATCAATTTGAGGCTCAACTATAATGTGTAAGCTTTGCTCTTGTGATGTGCCTAAAGTATCACATGGTTCATTTTGTAAACTTTTATTTAAAGTTACTTGATTTTGTGTCATATAGTTAACATAAGTTTCTGAAGTATCCATTTCCATTTATGTCTAATACATAAAAAATAATACAAATAGAAGATATACAATAAAATACTATGAAGACAAAAAAAATTATAAAAAAGTAGTAAAATAATAAGAATAGCATACAGTTAGCATTTAGTTTTTTTATTTTTTTATGTTACATATCATCAAAAACAATATAATGTATAACATATCACTAAAACCAATATTATGTGTAACATAAAATCAAAACCAAAATCATATTTTGAATGAGTAACTGAGTAGAATAAGCATTATATATAGGTTTTATTCTGTATTTAATTATTTAAAATGTTAGATTTAGTTAAAATAAAAATAAAAAATTTGAGTACTCTAAAAAATAAAAATTTTAAAAATTTTTTCCTTATGTAAAACAAAGCATTTAATTATAATTTGTAAAAAAAATTTTGAAAGAGTGTTTGATGAATTATTTGTTTAACATTTATAATAAAAGGCTTATATTTAATATCTTTATTTTTAATTTTAAGATTATCCTTGGTTAGAAGAGCTAATACAATAGAAAAGAATATAAAAATAATTGTGATTAAATTCTAAATTGCCTCAAATAATTTTCGCAATTATATACTTATCTGTCTCTTTATCAAGCAAATCTATGTCAAATGTTTATCTATTGTCTCTTAAATCGCTTCTAGTTTTTTCATTAAAGTGTCTCAAATATTTTTATTAAAATGTCGAAAACAAGACAAAACAACAAAAGAAAAACTCCCAATCTTAAATTAAAAAAAAAATTATTTGTACTCATATTCGACATTTAACACATCGCTAGATAATGCACACGTTTAAAAAATAAACAGGGTCAACATTTATTAGTGCAGGCCAAACAGTGCCTTTTACACAACCTATATGCTTCAAAAACTTAACTAACGTTGTTATACTTCAGAATATAAAATGTTAAATATTAAGACTACTGGCTATTATAATAAATATATTATCATAAGTCTCTTATAAATGCAAATTGTTGAAAATCACAACTTCAACAGACGATTTTTTTTTTTTAAATCCACACATCATGTTTACAAAACATAAAAGCGGAAGCAACTTTTATTTCTTGGAATGGTTGGTCAGCGGTAAAACGAACTACGTGCATAATTCCGTCTTAGAACTAATGGCAGATAGTCCGATGCGGGAGACCCCGGTAATAAAAATAGACAAAACGAAGACACAGAGATTTTTCGTAAATATTTAAATGTTATATACAAAAGAAACCTTAATAATCTTATTAATCTATAGTTGGATAGTTATAGATTGGATAGATGTAGAGGCATCTTTCAATTTATGCTTGACTATTTTTGTGGCGCAGTGATTAAAGTTCTTGCTCAGAACAAAGAAGTCCAAGGTTCGATAAAACCCAATAAACAACATTGGCAAAGAAGGAGGTGCTCATCCGCTATGCTCTGTGATAAGGCTGTAAGGACTTCTGGGAGCACATAATCACATTAATAATCAAAACAACAACAATAACAATAACAACAACAACAGCAACAACAACAACAACAGCAACAACAACAACAACAACAACAACAACAACAACAACAACAACAACAACAACAACAACAACAACAACAAAAAGAAACATTGTTTGTAACTAAATCTTCGATAAGGAAATTAAAATTCAAACAATTTCTCTAATCATTTTTGCTTAATATTCTAATGTATTTTCTTTTTTCTAGAGAAATAGGTTGAAACTATAAAAAAAAATAATTATAATTTTAAATAGAAGATTGCCGTAAAAAAGACGAAATTGGTTTGGTTAATTTACGCAGTAATGCAGTATTATTAAATACAAGCATGTTAGACTAAAATTGTTAGTGTTACAGTCAAATATGAAATTAAGTTTTATGAGTTTTATACAACTTTTAGAAATCTATTTTTTTTATTTAAAAAACTAAAAATTATTGATTCTGATACGCTTATGAAACACTAGAACATCAAGCATAGCACAGAAATTTACGGTGCTTCGCGAAAAGAAAATTACAATGTATTCATCTTACAACGGCCAATTTTGAAAAACAAACTATTTAACGAAAAAAACATTATAATTTTATGAATTATTAAAAATAATTTTATAAATTTTGAATTTACCCAATTTGTGAAAAACGGTGATTAAATGAACAGGAAAATGTGCATTAGCTAAACATAAAAAATCAATACATTCTATTAGCACTTTAAATTTAGAAAAGCATCAAGAAATCAAGAAAATTTAGAGCAAGAAAAAATACACTTAAATAATTTGACTGGAGAAAGTATAAAACTAAAGTGATTAAAAAACTTAACGACAGTTTCGAAGAACCATCGAGTATATATAACCAAATATAAATATACACTATTTACTTAACTTTACTAGAATATTCCTTTTAGATTGTTTCACCATATTCTGGGTTTCTGAAAACATTACGAACAGCGTTATTTCATTTTTAAACAAAGCAAAAATGGTATTATTTACGCAGAAAAAAAATATGTCAAAAAATTACTACAATGTGCGATTTGCCTCCCAGATAGCCCGTATACCTTTGCCTAACGTTGTTAAAAACTGAAATAATAACTTGTTTAACTACATAAGCTCTTGTAATTCAACAACTTTTCAGTATTTTATTCAACCTTTAACCTTAGAAAACCTTTTTAAAAAGTTTTTAAGATTAAAAAAAAGTAACTTTTAATTAACCTATTTCTTTGCTACTGACTACATAAAGATGTCAGGAACACTACTGCATTACTTTTCTACAAGCTGCAGGCTATAAGTTGTATACTTCCTGTGAAAATAGTTAAATAGTGGCCTAATTAGGAGAAATAATAGCTTACTATTGATATATAACAGTGATATGTGTGTATGTATGTATAAAATACAAAAATAGAAGACCATTTTCACACAAAATGTTAGTTTAGATCGGGAAGAATTTTTATAAGAACTAATGATGAATCTGCATTTGTCGCTTATGCCGATATAGCACTTGCATTGCCAGTTCCTACGGAGGGCAGGAGGTCTTGTTTTAAGAACATGATAAAATTTTAGTGCAATTTGGATGAGTACAATAATTTAAAAATAAAAAATAAACCGTACTGGTTGAAATTGCGTATTTATTCATTTGATGCCCATAATCTCCCTTATGCATGTCCGAAGTTAAACCTCGTGCAGGGTGACTTCGGACACTTGCCTAGCTTTTTAAAATTTTGAAAGTTTTTAAACATTGAAAATCAAGAAATATAAAGAGAGTTCAAATGTTAAAAGATACCTTAATTATTGTAGTTTGACAAATAATTTTGTTACTTTAAAAAAATGTAATAGTAATTTAATAAGCTCAGTCGGTGTAGTTAAGGCACTTTTAAAATAATAGAGCGTCTGTATGATATTTTGTTGACTGCGACATTTTTCCGTTAAATAGTCTGGTCTGTGAATTATGAAAAGACGAAAAAACTTAAAATGGTTAATTTTGCGGTATCATAAATTATAAATGTTTATAGCGAAAAAATCCAGACCGAAGATTCTTTTTTTTTAAAAAAAATCATCTTAAAATCACAACCGTTCGTCCAAATTTAAATAAGATTTTATATTAACAAGTTTTTTAGGTAAAATGAACATTATAGTTTAACAATATGATCTGTTCTGATCGTTTATTGATAATTTTCCATAATTGTAAGCTCTTTCTTGGTCGGAATTCCAGTATTTTTTGTGAAAATTGATAGAAATATTGTGTTTTGACAACTATATATAGTTAATATACGTCAAAACCGATTAGAACTAGGATCAGTAGTAAATTAAGAAACTTTTTCAAAAGATTTTAACTAAATTCATATTAATGCCGATGAGCGGAATTGATCTAAAGACTCCAAATTAGTGTTCTTTAGATACACTATTACGGGTAGTAAAAAGATTTTGAAAATTATATAAAAAAAAGAAAAGTTTCTTTAAATATTATAAAAACCTTGAGCAAAAAAAATTATAGCATTTAAAAATCATGTTTGGGCATAATATGCTGACAAAATCATGCTAATTCCAAATAAAAGTATTCAAATATTTTGTAAATCGCCTTAACTACACCGAGCAATTAGAGTAAAAACTGTCCGAGGCCTCCTCGGTCTCTCCTAATTATAAACACACACTCGCAAAATTTTATTAAAAAGCTATTTACTTAAAATAGAGTCTATATTTTATAGATATATTCTAAACGAATGTACGTTGTCATGTCTACAAGTGTGTTGTTAAAAAAAAATGTTTGTGTTTCCTTGCAAAGTTTACAAAGATTATTTTATTACTAGTTATCCAGCCAACTGAAATGGGGTAAGTAATGAAAGTGGCTAGGTCACAAATATTGAATTCAAAACATTTATGCAATATTTTATTAGTCATCTAAAGTCTTCAAATAAATATAAAACTCTGTTGGTTTTAAAAAATCATGCTCTCGTTTACATTTTAAAACATTTTTTGAAACTTATCCAATTAAAATGGAATAATTGTTTTACCTGCCACACTGTTGCCATTAGTTACAGTCACTAAACTTATCAGAATTTGTAAATTCTAAAAAGTTCTTATCAGTTTCAAAAGATTCATGTTTGAAGGACAATCCTGGCTATCCAAAGGTTAAAATAATTTATGAAAAAAACGAAAGAAAACTAAAAGTGCCGAAAATTATTATACTTGTCTTATATGTTGGAAAAGTTGTGAACTCACAACCTACTTAGCGAGATCTTACTAAGTTATATCTTGAATGTTGTTCATAAAAATCTATTCTAAAAGTTCATGAACAAAAAATTCATCTTTTTTTTTTTCCATTTCTATATAAAGTTATTTTCAAGTACATATTTTGATAATTTAGATCTAAAATGGCGGGTTTTTTTGTTTCTTTAAAAATTAATGGTTTTGCATATAAACATACTTATTATGTTTTTTCAAGAGACTAATTTTAAAAAGTGTAATAAAACTACAAAAAATTTAAGAACACACCTTAGTTGGTATATTTAAAAAAAATCTAATTACGTAAAAATTGTAACAC